TGCGGCGTGAGCCGTGGCAGTAGCCTGTCGTAACAAGCGCACGGAGAGACGGCAGCCGCTGCTTTCGTGAAATTCTCCTCAACTATGGCCACTTCGGCGATGATCGCGCCGTCGCATTTGGCCTCGTTGACGAACGGGCGGCCGTCGCTACGTTTGTTCGTTCGTTCTGTTTCCGCCACCTATCCCCCTTCGCACTAGGATTGCGTAGTAGTGCATGATGGTTCCATTAGCATTTACCTCCTTTCTAGAAGCGCATAAATATAATAATAATAGTGTATTGTATCTACTCCATACATATGTATAGTATTTGTCGGATCTGTGCTATTTCTGGGTCGGGCCACTACTGTCAATGCGGACAGCCAGCGCAACAAACGAATACGCCACTAATGCGGTGGCAACGAGCGTTAAGCGTTTGTTCGTAGCGCCGCCTGGGAGTACGTCACAGAAGTGCGACCGACGTGTGGCCATTTCCACAATGACATAGGGCGCGCAACAACGGCGCTGTCGGCGGTCCCTGGACAACTGCCGCGGCTGTAGCAACGGCAGCAGCTACCGATACGCTGAGAGAGCGCTCTGCGATGGTAGGTGCCACGTAAGGACGGTTGCCTCTGCCCTACTGCGTGTTTACTGCGTATACCGGAGTCGATTCTCCTTTCCTCTACCCGTTTTGCTTCGTCTATCTCGATAGTCGAGCCGCTTGATCCGTCGTAGCTGGCCGTTCCGTCCAACGGACGCCGTCACTCGAGTCTGCCGGGGTAAACGTGCGCGATCGTCTATTGGCATGCAGATCGTTTGTGTGTGCGTGCGTGCAAATATGACCGTATGTCATAGGTAGAGGCACAGGTCGGCGTCGAATCCATGCGTCCCTGTACATCTTCGGCAACCTTTTTTGTAATGTCTGTATCTGTCCCCTAGCGGCTATTGCTGCTGAGTGGTTTTGCCGACTGTGGCTCGCCGCCGTAGAGATTTGCCAGGCCTCTGTATGTGTGTTTGCTGACTAAATGGCCGGTGCTCGCTCGCGCAGTCCCACGCTTGGGTCGGCGGCTGGGTCGCGGCGGCTGCGGCTGTCGCGGGTGTGTTTCGCGGTTAGCTACTGCTGCCAAACTACAACACACAGCTACTAGTTTCGCTACAGCCGTTGCCGCATGCGACGACTGGCAGCGAACAGCGACCGACAAACTGCAAGCACGATTAACGACAGACTCACCGCTGCTGCTATTCCTGTAGCCGTTGCTCACTTCTGGCAGGCGCGGGCGATGCTCCGTCGTCGTAATCGTACGGCTGCCACGTCTGGCGTTGGCTGACGGCGTGGGAACCGGCGAGGGCCTGGATTCACAGACATCAGCGGCGGCAAAAGATTCACCGGCCAACCAACCCAACGAGTATGCGATCGACAAACCCGTAGCTACGGGCGGACCAGTGGTGCCACTACACCAGACAACAGCGCGGGAAAGGAGCGCGTCAAGCGACAACGTCGGAGAATTGCATCGACGAAGAGCAGGCAGATGGACGACTGATATATCCAGCACACGGCCGGTCGCCAGAAAATCAACGATAGAACGCGGCAGTACGAGCAGCAGCGACCGCATCGCTATTATCAGCGCATCAAGAGCAGCGGACATGCCATCAACAATATTCGGCACAAACGCACGCTCATGTACCCATTCACACATTAATAACATATGACGACACATATACGCGGCAAACAAGCCATACGTTAACAGATCATAATGTCGCTAAATTACATCCACGAACCATCACTGCAGCAGTCACCAAGCAATGTAGCACCCGTACGACAACAACGCTTTGAACGTAATATTGCTCACGACGCAGGCCGATGAGGACAATCGAAGTCCTTTTCGTCAAACTAGAATGATTACGAGAACGAGTAAATGTATTCCATCGCTAATCAGGCAACAGTGATATTAGAACAGGTGGTGGAATGGCATCGCACAAAACACGAAACTATAGCAGCAGCAGCAGCAGCAGCAGCAATGATACAAAGGTCTATAATACATTAGTAATGAGGTAAATAACATTAATTTACATCGGAATGTAGAAGGTTTGGCAGCCGCTTCCACTATTTTCGAACGCCATATTACTTACCAGACGTCGTCTGTCTGGCGTACGCGGGATGAAAGCGGGGCAATTCAGATAAAACTGCTATTGGCGTAGAGCTAACTGAGCTAATGGAGGTATCTGTTTGTATATACATATGTTGCTCACTTTGTCTAGTAGCGTACTATTTGCCGCCCTGTGGCGTCAACCCCCCGCCCTCCAGCCAGCCTTTAGTGTCACTGATCTTCTGCGGCAAGTTTTCGTCTGCCGATGCTCAAATAATCAATCCTCCATTTTATGCTCAGCTGCCACTGTTCAGACTTCCCGTTCTTCGCGATGTGTCTTTAACGGCCATGTTAATCGCAGCTGTTCTTCCTCGTTATTCCTAGATTCTCCTACCTGCTCACTATTCATTTTATGCAATGTTTGCATGATGCCCAAAAGAAATATGGCGCAGGCGGTAGCTAGACAGCTCTCAATTGAAATTCGACAACGGCGATTTCTGGCTTGACCTCTAGCTTCTGCGTCTGTAGCTCCAAAGTTACCGCTAACGCCAAGGATATTCGGTGGATGAATGTTGTCGGATTCGACAACGCAGTAAGGTCAACAAGCCAGGAACCTGTTGTTTACTTGACAATTATACCTTACCAGTGTCGTGTTAGGTAGGCCTATCGCGTGAATGTTTGTCATGACTCCTTTCTACCTGCAAGCTTATTGACCATAGCCGGTTACGCTCAGATTAAACACAATCTCATCAACGTAAGGTCTATCCGACGGCATGAACGCGTTTGCTTTGTTTGCTGTGCACTCAGGGCGTACTAACGCTTGCCCAATACGTTATCTCACGTTTAGATAAAGCGAGTTGTGTGTTGATTTTGCGAGCGGAACTGCTGCCTTCGACGACGTCGTATTACTTCGCAGCGCTGTCAACAGATAAAAGATTTTTTGTTGATCAACACATTTAGGATCTAATATAGCTTGGACATTCGCTAAGCTTCTCCGAATTTTCTCCCCGGACCCACAGTCAACGATTTCGGCTCACTGGGTAACGTGCCCCGTGTTATCTGTTGTTGTAGGCGCACTCCAGAAAGCTACCTCCATTGCAACTCCAGGCGAAGTCAACTACGACCTCAAAAAACCTGTAGCAAATCTTTGACTCTATCATTTATAGCATAGCATTAGATTTTTGCCAGACGGCGACCATGTCCCATTCACGATCACGGAGTCAACGATCCTGAAATTATAACCGTTACTAATGATTGTTGGATAAAAAGGGGTGACAAGTAGCCTGGTTTATCTGAATGTGTTTACATATGATAGGTGCGTACAAGTGTCCTTTTGTTCAGGCGTATTCTACGGATTACGCTCTGTCGATTTTCTCTTCGCCGACGCGCAATACCGCCCAAATCGGTTTCTTTTAGTTCTGAAATAGTCGTCAATATCGCCAATTGCGGCAAGGATACGAAACACGATAATCAGTCTGTAACCATCTACAAGATCAGCCTTTTTTGTAGGTGTATATATATACACTATTTTGTTGCGAAGTTTTACATAATTAAGCCATATGTTGCAGATGTAGATACTTCTAGTGTTTGTTGTTTCGTATAATCAGATCACAATAAATGGTTTCATTCGTCTGTTGGAAAAGCGACAATACTATAAAGATGCTCGTCTGCGTCCGACCAATTTTTTCTGGGTACCGATTGTTGCTTCTACTGTGGCTCCCTTACGCAATTACGTATACGTATATCGGTTTGTGTTGAGTTTACTGTTACCGTTGTCTTTGAAAAGATCGCTTTGGCCAATTTCTGCCATAAATAGATCGTAGTCGACATATAGCAGAGTCTCGTTCTGTGACCATGAATTTAAACAACACCGAGAACGACAACAGCTAACCAGCCTGATGATTTGACTGATAGATGCAATCGCTGGGGTCGGAATTACGTATTAAGGAGAGTCGTCCACGGCTTTTGCTGTCCGGTTCCAGTGTTCCAACTTTACGGCCGGCCGTTTTCGAATCTCCGTTTTGCTACATTGCCCCCTTTCTTAAATGACCCTGGAGTAACTGGCTATGAACGAGCGGTGATCGCACGCCTAAATATTGCTTCTGCTGCGGGCTGTGTACACACCCAATGCCTAACAGTCACTAAGCTTGGTTCGATGAAGCGTTGATACCGTGGCCATAGCGCGGCACATCAACAAATCATCGAACAGATAAGCACAGCGAGTTCGAAAAGACTAACCCTACTCAGTAGTTTTCCTTTGCTGCAACATAGACAGCGCTGTGAGGTCCCAAAAGTTAAGAACGATCTGGGTAGGGTCCCGGAGAGAATAGTCAGGTGCCTCTCTGGTCTCGACGGATTTGCCATTCCCACCTATCCTAACATCGAGAGTGAAGAGTGCTAGGTGACGGCCAATAACTCCAAGCGCTTTCGCCCCTTCGACCGTTTGATCAGCAGTGGCGGCGGTAAGAGAAGCGGTATAAACAGCACCAGAAGGGAAACGAGTCATCTCTGAAGGTCCCGGCCCATGCCGCTCTCGATTTTGGTCTCTGAAGCAACCTTCTTCCCATTTACTTTCCTCACACATACACACATCGACCTACATGTGAATCTATGCAAGTGCACAATAATCAGCCAAAAGATCGCAAGAAAAATAGCAGTAGACACTTTTTGCTCGTAACAGACCAAATGAAAGAAACACTGACTCTACTAACGTTATGTCTACCTCATAACTGATCTCTAACAGCAGAAAAAGACGAAGTACAGAGGATAGCCAGTATAACGAACTCGGTCGGTAAACGGCGAGACAAGAGCATTGATCTTTGCTAGCCATCGTGCTGACATTGTCGGTTTTGGTTTTCGTTTACCCGAGCGAGGAAACACAACAGAATCAGTAAGGCCTCTATTGAGCTAGGAAATCATCTCATCATCAGCCTTTTCTGTTCAGACGAAAAAGAACCTGTGCCGATTGGAGATCCAAAGCCGGTAACTCGACAGCGAACCTGCCTACTACGATATTACTAAGCATAGTCGCCCCTTGCTAGACCTTTCTGTCTCGCCAGTAGGCTTGGCTTATTGTGGTCCCCAGGCCATGACTACCCCCGGCCGCATCCTTGATTGAGGCAGCTAGATGGGCCTTGAATCTACCTCCGCCTCCTCTCCACCCCACCCCAATGTGGAGAGGGTAATCGGCAGGCGGGCAGGTTACTTGTCTCAATCATAAGGTTGGGTCGACAGGCGACAAGCACCCGTTAGCAGATTAGCGTAGAAGGCCGAATAGGACGAAGCGTAGTGTCTCTTGCCGTTCACTGACGACGAGACCGGAGGACGGCAATCTTCCTCGGCTTCTCTAAGTCGAAGCACTAGAAGAAGAACCACTACAGTGATAGAGCGCCACGCGGAAAGGAAGATATAATGTAGTATTTGGAGAAGGACACCTGCAGAGGCGGAACAGGCACCCTATACGACAGCGTTAGGAAATTGCTAATATGCCACACAAGTTCAAGTTAACGTACTAGACGGGAAGCGGGCATTATAAGTTCGAGTGCGGAAGGGACGTTGCCCCTCGGTGTATTTAGATAGTCATGGATCTGAGCTGTGGTTCAGTGTCATCAGATGAACTTGACGCAGTGATCTCATCGTCGACTGGGGCATCTAACGGAAGGATTCTTCGAGAAGAGTCGAAGCGCAAAGATCAGCCTCGAGCAGCAATGCATTCGCAGGATGTGCGTCCGGGATCAGGCGATAGCGGGAAACCGCTCACTCCAGCCCAGGAGTTGCGTAAGGTGAGACCACGTCAAAAGAAAAGGCAGCAGCCACCTTAGTACTAACAATTATAGATATTAAAATACATTTAAGCTAGTTAGAGTTGTTGATTGTTGATGCTTGCCTGTAAGGTGCACTCAAGTTAGGCCAGGCCTTTTCACAAGTAGTTACCAATCCAATTATGACATATTGCTTGAAACAATAGAACGTTGCGTGCCGTAATGATAATTAAAGGAGATCCTGGCTTCTCGTTGTTCCCAATCCACAAAGATAACGTCTATACTTTAATGGGCGGTCCGAAACAAACGAGGACAATGGTTGGCATTTTAAATGCATTTGGCTAATAGCCATTACATATGCAGTTGAATGAAGTAAGATTATTCCAAGACACCATTGCTGGCTTGTAATGGAAGCGAGTTCACGCTCTTAATAAGGGCTAAGCCATTGTTTTGAAAACAGTGTAAAAATTAATCCAACTTTAGCCTAAAGCTGTAGGACAGTGCAGAGATATTTCCTGCAAGGTCTGAAATCTGCATGTGAGCAATACTGATATTTCAGAAACTAGTTCTACTACGTCTGGTTTAACCTGCATTTGAACTGGCGGACCTCTTAAGCCTTCTTCGTCGTCCTTCTAATCGTTTTATAGTATCTACTGATGTAAGGAACACATAAAGTGGCCTAAGTTCGAATCCGAGGTGGACGCTGCTTAATCATTTGGTCGAAGTGTCTGAAGTTTCATGCTCTATTATACAAGAGGCGATAGAAATGATTCGTTCCAGAAGAGTTTAATTTATATCATACATGTATAGAAGTTGAAATTGCAAATCTTGAGAAATGCATAAAATAAGTTAGATGACTTTGTTAAGATTTAACTTAATTGAAGCAAAACTTAAATTGCCTTTGTTATCATGCCCAAACATTTATGCGTAATCGATTTTTTATTTAATTTTTTTGTTATGAAGCCATAGCCAAATTATCTTGTATATTGTTTACCTAGAGGTTAAGTCTACAAATAGATTTGTTATGTTTCAAACCGCGAATACAATCTTCATCGTATACGATATACCTTTAATAACAGGATCAACTAGCACGAGGTGAACCAGAAGTTATATGACAGATAAGTTCAGGGTCGAGTCGTATACTTAAACTACTCCTGACTATGCACAAATGAGCATTCACTCGGCTCAGCAGAACTCACCAAAGGCAACTTATGCTGGCTAGTCTACACGCCGGCTGCACGTAAGTTAGCAGCGACGACGAAACTGTTAAAAGCTTCAAACAACACAGAGCATACTGATTGCAGGGGTATATTTCGCGTCAGCTTCGACTGGTGTCCACAGACACCATACAGCCTAAGTCGTTTTTGATCTGTTAGTGTATATACACGTATGTGCATAGAGCAATAAACACTATCTAATATTTTCGCCAACAGCTCCGAAGATCTAGCTGAGAGTCGGGGGTAGGGGGCGTTAAAAACAGGGGTGTTGAAGTTTGTTCAATTTTCTTTTTGAGCTAATTTTCTCGCCCCTGGGCCGTCTGCCTAATGTCATGATGGCTTTCTTTTCGTGTGTTTACATCAAAGTGTAAACATGAGGAGTGGTCTGTTTGAAGCCGTGTATTAGGTGTTCTTCTGCATGCTGCCGTTATCGATATTGCGCGGCGCGTACGACGTCCAACTAATGTCGTGCTTACGTAGAAACACATACACAGAAAGTGAGTCTCAAACAAACACCCATCCGATCACATCGCACAGCCACGCGCACCAAATATCCCCAGGCTTCACCTTATCATTTTTCCACGATAGGTGCATTCTTCCCAGAGCCTCGCGCCTTCGTCTTACTGCATACTTCAGTTCACGCGCGAACATACCTCGATTTTCACGGTTCTCTGTTCTTCACACCATATGACTTCGCACCTCAATCTATCTTCACTCTTCATTGGCTGCTTGGTCTACGACAACGCCAAGGGACGCAGTTAAGAGAACAAGCCTTGAGCGTCCTTGTTATTATCATTATTATTAGGAGTATCAAAAACACAGAACCACAGCGGCGCTAACGGCACAAGCGCTACGCGCGATTGTCTTCATATCACCGACGATGTCAGAGAAAGAAAATTCGCATAAATGCACAGGATTTATTTGTGTACGGAAAGAAACATAGCAGCAGGTCCCACGTTTCTAGGAATCAACTAAAGAGATGAACACTAAAGATGCGATGTGTTTGAGGCGATCCTATGTGTTGAGGACTGAAGCGTATGCAGATGTTATTTGTTGTCCACAATGTGTTTCGTGTTGCTTATCGTTCTTGCTAATTTTTGTAGGAACGATGTTATTCTCGCGGTGAAGATTCTTCCTTTGCCCTGTGTGGCACGACCGCAGCGACATTACCAGAATTTTTTTTGCCCTTTTTACGTTTCGTTTTGTTGTTTATGTACACACATATACGATCGATGGCTAGCTACGGCACTGCTTCGATAACTCAATATTACAGCTGAAAACTTTAGCTTGGGTCGCAGTGAGTCATGTTCGTAACACACATAAAACCCCATTCATTGAATGACTGTAAATAACAGCAAAAGCGCTGCATGAATAATTCGTCATCTGCTTTCAGCTACAGTTTAGATAATGGTCCATTATGGGGGCAATTAATTATCATTTTATGTCGTTATTGAAAACTGGTTGGCTGATTTGATGGTATTCTATCTATTTCCAAATTTAAAGCTTCCCTGACTTGCCACTAGTTATTCCTCTACCTGTAGCGAGCTGAGTTCAGATCTATCAGATCCTGCAACGAGTGTTAGCCTGAAATCTTTGTCGTTTTCAATCGCTCTCAGCAGCAACTGTGCACACAGAAACCCATCATAGAAAAGAACTGTGACCCCGTGCGCAATCGAATACGATAACATTTAGTGATTTGCTTATTTATCTAGGGGTGCCATTTGCTTTATTTATTTCAATTATAGTACTTAACTTGCCAGTACATGGGATCGGTATCCTTGTATTATTGATAAGTGCCACATTTTTGGCCACGGATGGGAAGTAGTCTTGTCATACATAGAATAGTCGAGTTGCGATACTGATTTGTTATCCATTTGATGTCTGTCCGAACGGTATTTCGTTGAGTATCCAGTGGGTACTTAGAAGTACCAGAGCATAATCAGTGGAGTGGACGAGTTGTCACCTTCGGTCTCTCTCGTCGGTATCGAGTGTTCTGTGAAATTTGCTATTTTGAACGCGAGCGCTTGTTGCCAGACTAGACTATAGCTTTCACGCCAACTTGAATGTACTCCATGGAGTTCCGAGCCGTACTATTAATCAACCTACCACAAGCCAAGAAAGCTGAGGCCGCTGTCGATACTACTGTTGCTGCCGCCAATCGAATTCCTTAAAAACCTTAATATCAAAAGACGCCACTGAATGCCGGCATCCTGTATGAGGACAGGATCCACTATTGGACATGGATTTCGTACGTGCAATTACACTAAAAGATCAGGGCGGTAGATTGATTGGAGCACTTTGAACGAAATAACCCTAATATTGTACCTAACGCTTTGTGTGGATCGTTTTGATAGCCAAGCACATTCCCCCCCAAAACTCGATTTATACCGTAGACTGTTGCTGAGTGTTCGATGAAAGATACCAATATTATCGCGTACGAATCTAATACAGAAACCTCTGTATCGTAATCTTTCTCGTCTTAGAAACAGGCGTCACTTTGGGATACGTAGGTTATCGTTGTGGCCAGCTACCGTTGGTTTGTCAACGTATCAGCATACCTGGAATAAAATAAATACGAATCAAGCTGATTGTAATTATATCGTAATTGGCTTCTTCCATAATTTGTAACAGGAAAACGTAAACGAAGGTACCGCCGTCCGTTAATTATCTAAGTATTGTTGCTCATACTAAAGTCGGTGGCACTAACTATTTAATAGAGGTAGATTTAGTGGAGACTCACGATATGTAATAAGCGATTTTATGTTCTTTATTTGCAGGCGACCAAACCATTAATGGAGAAGCGGCGCCGAGCTAGGATAAATCAATGTCTACAAGAACTAAAGGACCTTATTCTAGAAGCGCTCAACAAAGACGTAAGTGCCCATCATATAATGGCTTTATTTAACTAACGTGTACGCTTATTTCACATTCAAAAAGTAATGCAAGTCCTGCCAAGGCGATACTTGATAATTGGACTAGACAATTCCATTCGACGATTGCCTGTACTTTATACTCCGGTATACCACTGTGCATATTTTCATGTTTGCCTACAAATTTCTATGGCACCAAACATTACCTTTCATATATTTTAATGTAATATTCGGCCGCAGCGTCGGCACAGCGCGCGTGCACATAAGGCCTTCAAAGGGGATGTGACCCAGAGTGGCTAATTTTGCAGATAATGGTATTTTATGCTGACACATCTGTGGCTATACCCAATATGACATGCATGTATATGTAATTGGTGTGATTGACGAAGTCTATTTGCTCGAGGCATTACATCGAATCGCCCATCTGAAGAGATCAGAGACGCCACTCGTCCCAAGCCATTTTCCCTGGAGCCGTAGATATTTAGTTGCAAGTAGCTTGCGGTCAGAAGCCCTCGGGCAGTTCGTGACTGTATCGTAATGGAAGGAGACGGCAATGATGTTCAGATGCACAGCAGTTGCCGTGCTGTGCACACGGGCTTGTTAACTCGGACAGTGTATTGCTCAAAAAAGCTGATCCGGTCGTTAGTTCACGCACAATGATTCGCACCGCCGCCGCCGCCGCCGCCGGCGTACGTAAATTTGCGGACTCGTGGATTTTTAGCATCAGTATACCTGCTACACCGGCTAGCACTAATATGCAATAACAGATGATGGCATTCGAGCACTTTAGCCATCTAAGCCGCTGTCGAAAAGCATCGTACTGCCAATGAAGTGATACCCGTTTAAAGTTTAAATATCAGGTAATACTCATGTCGTGGGTAAAATGTTTATCCGTTAGGCTTGACACATGCGTAAAACTGAGCACATGTAAGGTTATCTAGGCTTAAAACGAGGTTAATATGTTTCGCAGTATGAGACGTAAGACTCCAAATACTTTTATTTAAGATGCGTCCATGTAGGCTGCATCTCCATAATGGGCTATAGCATGGCATAAATGTTGTGAATATGTAAAGGCTCTGTCTCTTTCTGCTGATGAGTAAGCAATTTGGCTTCATCCAGAAATTCAAAGGGAACAATTGTTTATTTAGTGAAGACGGCGCCTTCGTTCAGCGAGCCATCAAGCACACGGTCTGCTGATCCGCCGTATGTTTATATGTATCCATGAGGAACTTATGGAGCAAGAAAAAGATACATTACAATGAGATGTCTAATCAAGACGATGTAACGTTACTAACTACCAGTTTGTCATCAGTGCAAATAACTATAGTGATACAGAATTATGCGTACGCCTTCTGCCTGTCGACCCATTGGTAAGCTTCTACCTTTCACTTAGTAAATTTCAACCTTCCTTCAACTGTATATAGTCTCTCAACGTTATCATATTTTGTATGCAACATTTGCGTATTTTATATCACATGTCTCATTGTTTGATTCGGCTTTTGTCGATGTCTTTCAATATACGCACAAGCTGCCGTTTACGACTGGACAGTGCTACATAAGCCGTTACAAATCGTGAGCTGCCATCGTCGATTGGTAGGGGGCTTCATCGCTAAGCGTTTGTGAAACGGTGCCTCGCGTCTGTGGCGACGGCATACAGTGGCGTGACGCGTTCTCTTCCGTCGTCGCTGCGAACTATCTCCCACAAGCAAAAAGCCCCTGCCTAATAACGAGGTTCAAATATACCGAGTGTGCTAGCATTAACAAGCCGCATCGACGACGGTTTTGTTTGTGCCTGTGCGTCCACCGCAGTACGCAGGCTAATAAGAAACGACACTAATAACAAGAGCAGGACCTCAGAGTAAAACATCTCGGAACAAATCTTCAGACTTAGCTGAGATCGAAAAACTTCTTCGTCATCGTGACATGCAATGAGCACGTTACTATCATCAACAGCTATATCATGCTCACTGGGCGAAATAATAATTTCTATCATTACCGTCGCGTCACACGCGTAAAAATCACTGGATTTCTCCCATCACAATCGTTTGATGCAGTTATACTGTGCCATTCAATGAGGATCTGTACTTATCTATCGGGGAGGCTGGTGGTAGTTGTTACGTCTGTTCAGACAACAGCTAATGTGCGCCGCACGACGAAGAACAGAATCCCCTTAGTCCCAGCCAAGTTCTCCATCTCGTCAATCGTTGTAGTCATCGTCGAAGCGCTATTACCCTGCCATTTCAGATCCTGCGCTCGTTCTTGTCGTATACGTACATCGTGTTGTTGTTATTATTTTTATTGCTTGGAAGCCGACTGACGTGGACAGTCTTCTAGAAAAGGCCAGATGAAAAAGCCGAAATCAACAAAGGCAATTTATATTTGATAATTATTGTCAACTCTAATGAGCGACAAGCTGCGAAAAACGGCCGCGGCATCTGGCGTCACAGGGGAACATCAGGTAGAGATGTCTTTTGTCATATTATTTACGGCCTTTGTCTAACTACTTCGAATAGATCGTTACGGCTACGGTCGAATCGTGACCGACCGCGTGGTGGCTGTCCAGGTCTTGGCCAATAGCGACGTCAAAATAGCCTAATTTCATTGTCATTTGTGCTAGCCGACGCCACGATCAGCAGCAATAATAGGAGCAGGATTGACAATCAAAATCCAATTGTATCACAGCAGTGGAATCACAATCGATCTACCCGCTACTGTGTTTCGGCGACGAAGGAAGCCGCTAGAAAGTCAGAACGCGCGTCTTCTAATGAATTACCATCGAAACATCGGTGTTGTTTAGCGAATCGAAAAGCTGTAAAATCAGAGGAGGCAGTGGTGAGTAAACTAGCCGTTGTCGTTATCGCTGTTGCCACCGCATTCGACAGATCATAATGTCGATGGAAGGGCCAATGCAGATCCTTAGAAAGTCAGGCCCGACGGGGTGGGTGGGTCGGTCTACTTCGAAACAATGAACGTCGCTAGTTATTGAAGCAAGCAGCATGGCAAGTTATACGATTACTGAGCATGGAACGACTTCGAAGTAGGACAATCGCGGTTCCACTACTCTGTCGGTTCTTTTTTCGTCCTAAAATTGTTATCAGTCATATTATGGTGCCCTCATCGCTTACCACTGTATAATAACATAACCGATCATCATAATGAAACATCGATGTTTGTGATTTAATTACGCCTTGGCAGATGATAGGCTCGCACGCTTTTTTTTTTTTTTAATAAAAAATTACATCTGTAATACGTATTGCACACAGCAGGTCGAACGTATCGATACAAATTTGTTATCAGATATTGATGTACACGTGAATAAGTATGGTACGCAGAACAATTAAGCATGTTATCTATGTTGCATGTCCGCCAGTGTGAGAATCAGGGTTCTCTACCCGGGTTAAAGAAAACTAGACTATGGTCATTGTTCTACCATACTACTAGATGTAGTACGTAGCTCGTCGCGCAAACGATAGGATTTCATTGTTTTGGCAATTATGTGTAGCGCTTTCTAAGGTGAAGCAAGTCGTGATATTGTGAATATATTTACTAATCTAGGTTACTGATAATTAGCCGAGAAAGAAGGACTTCATGCTTCACAACAATAAAAAAAATCTGACTAAGTTTTTTTTAGCTCAGCGCAGGAACGTCTTTTATAATGAGTTCATAAATTCTTTTTTATCCTTTGTCCTTTAGCCTGCACGGCATAATAAGTTGGAAAAAGCGGATATCCTCGAAATGGCAGTTTGCCACCTAAAGAGTGTTCAGCGACAGGTACGCCAACCACCCACTCTCCCGATAGAGGGCACTACGAAATATCGCGATGGCTATACTGAGTGCGCGAACGAAGTATCCCGCTTCGTCAACAATGTTCAAGTGCTTCAGCCGGACGTCAAGCAGAAGCTCATTGGTAGGTTCACTGTTGTTATATTCTACGCTTTACAGAAACATAAGGTATAAATTACGGCTTCTGGTATTTTTTATAAGGGGTATAATGCTACGCTAGCTTTAGCGCAAACGGCAGTCAGGCAACGATCGTGTCGGCGGTCCGGACACGATCTGCTGCGCCAGCTTTAACCCGAACAGGTTACTATGAGTATATGTCGATCATTTTTGTTGTTTCTCTACCGTACATTACTGGCTATGCATTCAAGTACACGTGCATTCAAATTAGTCCGCAAATGGTGGTAGTCAATGGGTTGGTAGATTTACGTCCCACAGGTGCGGCAGCACCCGGTTCCAACGGTCGCAGAGCGACGTACTACTTTCGTGCCAAGTTTCAATCCTAGACCAAAACAGGTGGCTCGCTTACGGTCAGACGCGATTCTTAACGGCCACCTTGGTCGCTTTGAAGCGGTGGCACCAATTCGTCCGATGCAAATCACTCCCGTTACCGATCCAAAACTCTACTGTAAACTCTGACACACATAGGTATAAAGGAAAATAATGAACACCTGTGTCGGCGAACAATAAATATCAGGTATAGCTATGAGACGTTTTCTATATGCCAATAATTTAAAAACAGAGCCACCCTTCTCACAACTTCTATTGCCAGCTACATGCATTCAGCTAACAAGGCTTAGTAGACAAAATGATATTATAAGTCCGTATTTTATTCTCATTTTCGCATTGTAGGCCATCTATCATCCTGCATAAACACATTGGACACGAGCAACGGTCCATCGGTGAGCCCTCCGCTTGGCTATCCTTTAACACTTTCGCCGGCAAGCCAACCCGATCAGCAAGGACAACTGCCGCCTGCTCTACCTGCTGGCGAGCGATCTTCATCACCGTTATCGTATTCACCCTATCCTCCATTATCGCCTCCTTCGCATAGGTCTTCGCCGCCACTTCCACCAGTGGCACCCTCGTTTCCCTCGGTGGCAGCCCCGTTAAACCTTTCGCCCTCGCACATGGTCGCCTTTCCCGGAATGGTACCACCCCCTTCAAATGACCTAAACAACAATGTCAACAACGTGACGAGCAGCAGTACCAACAACAATAATCACATGAGTGTTGGCTTAAACCTCGTGAGTAAAAAAGACCATCGAAATCCATCGGCTTCAATGTCGTGCGCTGACTCAACGGGAGGCTCTTTTGGAGATGAACCAATGGATGACGACCACTCACCAGCGACAGCTGGATTGGATGACGGTGATCAATACGACGCTCCTCTGGACTTTTCCAAGAAAATTATGCAAGCTTCGACTCGGACAAGTAGCAGCAGCAGCATTAACAGCACTGGAGGAGGAAGTTACGGAGGTGGCGGGCCTGGAAGTGGAAGCAGTACAACTGTTTTTCCAAACCCGCGGAAGAAATACCTGGCCTCGGTAAGCAGTGGCGCATCGAGTTCTTCCGACGAAAGCGTCTTCGGGACAACACCCCACGGTAGCGTTTCGTCTGCAAATGAACTCGATTTCCAGCACACATCGTCGCTTCGTCAACTACAAGAGCATCAGAACCAACCAGTCAATTATTCAAAAAACGCGTTTGGGGGAGCTTCGGCTCCCCGCTATAATTTTGTCTTGATGGGTGGCGACTCTGGAATTGTCAGCGAAGACGATGATGACGTATGGAGGCCGTGGCATTTTCAGCGCTGATTTGTTACTATTTGATAAGGAATCATGTAAGAAGATTGTTGATTTTCTAGCTCTACGAACAATGTTCGAGGAAGATTGCCTATCCCTAAAATATAAGTGAGGGAGCACTGGCAACGAAATGCTCACGTTCATGCATGCGCGGCTTCACGAAAAACAAGCCTCATTAACTGCACGCTTCCTATGGCCAATTTGTCACAGTTAAGGTAGCTCGTTAAGGGTCTTTAGATGCTCTACTTCGACCAATTGCAATGTGACATCTTCTATTGTATTATAGCTGTTGTATTTAGCGTATCCGTTACGTAAAGGCGGGTGATTCGAAAAAAAGCTGATCATAATGACACATTAGTTCTGAGAGGATAAAAAAACTCAACCCAAAAATACATAGGCAACTGGTTGAACAAAAAATTTTCTTGGGGTATTTGTGAGTAATCTGTCTTCGCAGATTCTTTTTTCAGTGGGGCTTTTTTTCCATTTGTCAAACGAAAGTACGTTTTTTACGCTACTGAATACCATCACGATCTTGCAATTATAAACTACGATAATACGCGGTTTATGCCGCGATGTTTCACGCGATTCATACCGCAGATAAGGCTCAAACAGGATACTTTTCTATGAGCTCATTATCAACATGGCCTGAGGTTGAGACGAGACGGTTCACTCGGTCTAAGTATGTACTCTATTGTGGGAAAAACTGTATCGTTAGCGGCGTATTTACATTTACTGGTTACTACTGATATGAGCATAAGGCTACGCACCGAAAAGCTGAGAAAAATTTCATATTTCAATCAATTCTTCACGGCTGACTTGTATAGCGAGGCTATAATAACATCAGCAATTATTTGAAATGTTTGTACATAAAACAACGCCCAAGCGACCGGATAGCATGCGATGGAGAAATAGCCATATATTTAATAATGTAAAAACCATTAAATAATAAAAAAAAAAACGTAGTTTTAATTAATGTGGCTTATGTGCTGTGTATTCGATCATGCTGTGCTATAACTATTGTAATTATTAGTAACAATATATATATATATATATATGGATACTGTATCGGTAAATGGTCTTCATGGATAGCACAATCATAGTGCCGCAACTTCAATAAAAATAGCAAGAAATGTATTTGCTCATGATCATCATAACTTCGATTATTCAAGTTCAGTTTCACAGGTTTAAATATGTGACCTTAGTTTTTGTTACTCTGTAGGTAGAAGCTCTGTGGACAGTGTCGTTACGTGTCAATTTTGAAAATAATGTCACACGCATTTAGCGTACCGATTTTTTTTGCTTGAGTATGGGCCACCTTTTTCTATTTCGCAGCTTTTTTTTTTTAATCTACTTTGCAAAGATGGCGCCAATGGTACCGCTCCGGCAATACTCAGAATTTAAGGCACTGCCCTAAAAAAATTGCACCTACCAAGGGGCAGTAGGTTCGCTTTTTCGTGAGTATGGGCAGGTTCGTGACCAAATAAGAAGAGAAAGTTGTCGTCTTCATTTTTTCTTGGAACAGAAAAAAAATTTGCCCGGTAAACTCAGTGGTGCACAAACGGAACTCGATGCCAATAAAACATATTTCATAAAAAAAAAAAAGGTAACGTAGAGATAACATCGGGAGCACCATTTTGTAGCTAATCATTTTTATGCTTTAAAATTGGATCTTCTATCTTGGTTTATTAATATAAAGTAAATAGTGCTAGGATGTAGTTGCCACGAGGAAGTATTGAGAAAGTTATTTAAAGTACCCTGTGGTGTAAGGTACCAAAATTAGAATCATTCTCTACGATAGTAGAATTTCAGCTTTTTTAAATTTTTTTTAAAAAAAAATTAAATAAAATTGCCGTTCAATACACTCAGTAGTATCGTTACCTGGCGTTAATTACATAAGACGTTCCATTCTGAACAGAGTATGCCAAAAAATAGAGGGCTCGAGGAAAAACGGAATAACATACATTTCGTGGAGGGCATAGGTATTGATAAAATTTTAGTAAACCAATTAGCAAATTTATGCATGCTCAAGTGCATGTTTCAGTCAACACCAGTGTCATATCTTTTCGTATTGATTGGTGCTTTTAGGAAAATTTCTAATGAAAATACGAAAGATAGACAATAAATTGGCCTACTATTAATAAACAAACTAAAAGCCGACGTAAAAGACAGTAAGCGCAGGTAAATTTCGAGCGTTGTATGCAAAAGTGCGCGAGTTCGTCTCGGAACTGCTAATGTTCTCAGCCCTGAACTGTTAATGCCAGCACCAAGAAGAACTGATTTATACATTTTGTTAACAATAATTTACTCTTTTTCTATTATTTATAATCTGTTTAATAAGCCGCTGTACAATTTACATTGTATAATATGAGTGACAGTTAGCTAGACGGAAGCCTAGTAACTAGTTTCGGACGCATCACATTAGATAACACTCTTTAGGCCAGCAAAACGTTACTTCGAGCATTACACCTAACGAACACACAACAATGCCCATTTAATCTGGGCACCATATTAGCGTTAACAATGCGCTGGGTCAACATGGTAATCCCTTGCACTGTTTCAAGTTCATTGAAATCGGCTTGAGAATCGAGATGGTTAAATGGCCACTTTAACAGTATTCGACTTAGACGAGTAAACCGCGCGTCAGAACGACATTACAAACGATAGAATGCGATTATCAAATACACAATACTGTTTGAAATAAACCTTCAAGTCGACGCATAGATCATAAAAATCCTAATTTCAATGTTCAATATACAGATGTGCGAAACCTAACAAGGGAGCCTGGGAAGAGTACATTGAACACCCACATGCATGGTAAATCAGCTGAGCGTTTTCTACGAAAAGTTCCACTCGTTACTAGTTCCAGCAAAGAACTACAGCTTGGCAGCTCATCGTCAAGCTGCTCTAACTTACTACCGCAGATATCTAGACCTTCATTTTTTCACAGTACAAAATATGTACTATGAAATAAAGATCTCTACTATAAGGAAGGTCGTCGTTCTAAGGGCTGGTAAAGCAGTAACAACGATAACTTAGCAGGTACTTGAACAAAGCCATTTCGAAGCACACGCACTAATTATGGCAAAGGAAATTTGTAATTTTCCGTATGTTACTGAAAAACAGTAATCATTTATAACTGTTTTCTTTCAAACATTGTTGTTACTAACTAATATTGGCGTGCTTGTAATTTACTAATAATAGGTAAAAATAAACGTATCGAATAGATTCATCGACGACAGGAGTCACAGGCAATTACGGCAGTGACTGCGAATACCGTAGACCTAGCAAGGAACCGACCACGCTGTCACGCCGCCATCGGCATCTGTGATTAAATAAAGAAAGTTATGAGTCACGCTGTTACACTGTTTTATTCAGTAACGCACCTCTGTGTGGAGGTTGGAAAATACGCGTGTAAGGTTCTCTAAATTAGAGTGGTTTGAAAGGTGTTTCTGCCAGGAAATCACAAGTAGGAGTCCAGTCATTAACAAATGCGGAGGAATCTTTCAAAAGTAATGGCCAACTATCGTTAAATTTCATCTTTCACCTATGAACAAATGTCCCCTGATGATTGTGCTGGCCATTTTGGTGGAGCAGAAGTAAAAGCGAGGGGGAACCTGACTGACTTTCGGGACAAACAAACATACATGGTTTAAAAGCGAACACGTTTTATTGAAGCTGTCTTTTTGTACTTTTAACAAATTACCTTCGAATATGCTTATTTAGAGATTTCGTGATCTTCTATATTTAAGCAGCATCCTATCACCGCATGGCCGTACCGCCCGTTTGAAGTTCTCTATTGGATAGGTGGCATTAAAATCAACTCTTAGCTGAAGAACCTGTAGGGCTGCATTTGTTAGATGACTTTGTCACTACCGAGATTTAGTCTAGTGCAGCTCTCACTATGGCTACCGAAAGATCAGCAGACACACGTCGACCTATCGAATCGGTGGCTACAATTGCATGGGTGGTTTGGTTGAAATCTTTTTCTCGTAGCCGATCTTTATCTCCTTGTGGTTCTGCATGATTTTCTTTTTCGCTCTGTTCACCGCAGGTCGCCTCCAGTCTATGTCCCCTCGCCCTCTTCTGAAAATCTGCAGACCTGAAGAGCTCAGAGTGAGTTAGTCGGTCGCTCGGCCAATAGTTACTGTCGGCCGATCCCCTCTCTTCGGTCAGATCCCCCTCCCCCTTTTCTCCTGTTTACTCGGCTTTCCCTCTTTAACAACGCACATACTTATGCACTCACACCGAAACGTTCAGCTATTCGCACTCGCGAAATATCCCTCGTTTGAACGCGCTGGATAGAACCGAACGCGGTCAAATCATTGCCCTGGCCCGAAGATCCCGAACAGCCGTCATTTGCTCGCGCAGTCGAATAACGGATCAAGAGACTACGATGCGGCCGCTGCATCAGCTTCACCAAACAATTCTCCGTTTTCGATCGACAGCTTTGAGATACCAGCCGCGCAGAGATATTTGGCGCTGCCCTATGACACAGAAACGGAGGAGATTCTCAGGGGGGAGTTATCTAGGCTTCTGTGCTTCGGTCTGTTGGTGGATCTTCGCTACAAAATACTTCGCGAGTAGCTATTTGTAGGACAGAGACCAACCCCTAGTTAGTTAGATAGTAAAGGAGCCCCCGCCCCCCCCTCCTTTACTATCTAACTATGGAGGGGGGTGGTGCAATAAGAAATAAAAACTATAAAGTCTGAGAGAGAGATACATCGAAAATAAATGTGATCGACGCATAGGGAGAACAGGATAAGACGAAGTTAGGGCGGCGGGTCAAGTCGAGTCCGCATCAAACGCACACATACAGGAGCTCCGCGACGAGAACAACTAATGGTCGGCAGCAACAAGTGGGTGAACGGCACCGGTTTGACCGATCATAAGCAACGTCAGACATCGTTACCTATATACAAGTATACATTTCCTCAACCCTAGCTAATACCGCATGATACAGTCGACAACGCGTTCACTGTAAAGAGACGCTGAAGCGTTGGAGACATTGGAAGAAGAGATAGCAGCGGAGAAAGGCGATCAGACCAACGAACTGTCGAAGAGTCAAGCTGGCCCACTGATGTCGGCGGCTGCTGCCGCTGCCGCCTGTGCGGGCGCTACGGTTCGGCAACTGCCGGCCGAACTGTTCACGATGTTTGCCGAATACTTCAGCTCATTTCTGGTTGACTATTCGCCGTAGAGTCCGCTTAGTCGATACCGGCTGAACGGGAATCGGTGCGATTCCTCGGTGGCGCCCACATCCCCTACGACAAATTCACTAGTTAGCACAGTGATAGCTGTAACGTAACATCAGGGACAACGGCGCCGAACATAGCGACCGAGGAGGTCATTAGCGTTCAAGGGAGAACCATTGACTGGCGCTGCGGCTACGACGACACCCTCCTGGTTGGATTCCAGTGCCGACTGACTTGGATTCATCGAAGGCGAAAAGTAAGGAAGACTGTGTCAGTGAGACCACGCGCTGTCGAAGTGGTCAAGAGCGAAAGGTGCATTGCCGTCAACGGCCGCCAGTGGTGTCTGCCTGAAACTAGCGAGGTGCTTTAGGAAAACAAAAAATACATCGTTGGAAGACCCATAGCGGTCTAAGTATTTGAGGGTGCACTTCGTATTCGTTGTAGTGCATCAACGTCAAAGAAAAAAAACATTACAAAAAAATAGAGTTGGCGCTTCCGACCAGCGATCGGCCAATGACCTGCGGTGTTGATTTCACTGTGATTTTGTGAAGAATCCTGTTAGTGCCCTAGCCTGAAGGCGCAAAATACGACGTGCGCGTACTGGCATAGTTCCTTGGAGAAAAACATTTCAGTTGTTTAAAGGTAAACACACATTACGTTTGAATATAAACAGAGAGTGGCTTTCGTCAAAGCAGGTTGCAATACGACTAAGGATTCAATTGTAATTGGCTATCGGAGTAACGGCAACGATGTTAATTTAGAAATCAACCACCAAAGTAACTGACAATGCGCTTGCGGGGCTTTCAAGTGGTTGAGCTTAAATCTACAAAAAACGTTTTCATTTTGAACACTTTTATCAGTGGCTGATTTTTGCGCCCAAAGGAAGTTCTGGGTTAACTAGGAACCGACTGACCAACTACAGTTTCACAGAAGCAGGTTTTATGTGCATTTTGCACAGATCGAAATGCTTAGTGCTGTGTGTGATATGAGCATTTACAATACTTTCTTCAGGACAGGAAGCATGTAGCTATCATTAGCGCGACTATCATTTCAAGCTAACTTTATTTCTAACAGTTTTAATGTAGATCATTTGTAACCACTTCTTTCGCAGTGTAAGTTCAATTATTTATTTCTTTTTCAAAGGCAATAAGTAATCGGTTGTATTGAAGTCGATGACCATCTTGGTATGGTCACCCCATGGGAATGCCTAATAGTATATGTGTATGCATATTGTTGTCGTTTTTTTTGCTATTTTTTTTCTAAATAGGCTCTAAATAAACTCAGAAAAGCAGAACCATTATTTTTAGGACCACCATACCGTTTAGATGTCACACACCGTTCGATTCGGGGTTCTAGTTTATCCGTGGCTCTCTGACGCCGGGTCATGAAACGGAATTTCAAGAATCCGCACCTTCAAGGTCCGCCCACGAAGCCATTCGTCGAAAATCTGGCCTATCGCTTGGTAGCATTTCTATGGGAAAGCCCTGTGTTGGTTTGATAGCAGCTTAAATTGCAGTTGAAATCCCCAATTCGAAGTTCACTCTTGAATTTAGAATATCAGTCGTGTGAAAATCTGGCTAATAATTGTAGCGGGACCGTATCTGGGAGTATTCATTCCATTGTGGTTTGGTTTCTGTCCGAAAGGACATATCGTTCGGAGGCATACGAGTTTTTTTAACTTAAAGCAAATATCAATAACACCCCATCCATCTTGGTTAATTGGGACCATATTTAAGGCTATCCGTTGGCAAGGATCAAAGTAGCTTTTTCGCTGTGCAAAAAAAAACTATATGATTACGAAGTATTTACATCATCTGCGATTACTCGGCTGGTCACATCTGTAAGATAACAAGTTACGGGGTGTCGGACGCTGCGCCGGTGTTACTAGAGATTGAAGAGGCCACTGGTGAATCCTCAGGTCCTCTACAGGCATGTAGCTGCGGCATGTTGCAGCATAATAACTTTTTTTTCTGGGTCGATCCGGCCACGTTGAAATCGCCGATCGGTCAACGGTCCCTCCGTGTTGACCGCAAGGGCTGTCTGTGCTATCCTCTTGGCCCGAAGTGATTCTCGCCGTTTCAGAAAGCGGCTCCAGAAGCGTAAGCTTATAATTGCCATTTCATAAATAAACAATACTTATTGCATTGGTAGTGAGAAATAGCCGCTAATTGATCAATAGCCGTATGCTCTCTCGGGAACTTGGTGATCGTTGAATTTCAACGGCACGTTCAGAGGTAATCTCTCTTCATTTAGTATGAACGACACCCTGACGATTGCATGGATCTGACAAAGTTGATGAAATTCAAACTTAGATTGATTACGATTACAAGCTATCTTATGTCGCTCAATTATAGTGAGCTGATTCACCTTGTGCTTGAACGTTTTTCCTTATCGACATTCCAGATGTTACGACCGCAGTTATCATGGTTAGCGCTTGTTGCTGTAGTTTGCTTATTTCGGCCTGTGGCCGCAGCGCCTTCCCCAGCACAATTGGCCTACAGTTACTCGACAAATGAAAATCAAGTTTCAATAAATCAACAGCGGCGCATATCCCAAGAAAAGTTGCATCGCGCAGTTTCTCGTTTTGCGGCAACGGGTCGCGGCATCGCCGGTGTCACCGAATACGTTATGAAAGCAGTCGATCGGTAAGATTCATGCACTCAAAGGCATTACATTAAAAGTAACCTGGATAGGCTCGTGTATTTTCCTAAATTGATTGTCAATATGTAAAATATCACACTAAAAACAAGGTGCGTAATAAATTTTGACTACAAATTAAGAATTCCATCCAATAATATAATTTCTAATATGGGAGACTACTTCCTAATACGGACTAAGTTTTCGACTATTGTAAACCTCAAGCCCCTGAAGTAGCTCTTATCGGTAGAAGCAGAAGTAGACAGAACATTCTATTTATAAATACAATTAGAATTAACTGTGAATACGAGGCGTTTGAAAGTGGTCAGTATCATGTGGACTCCTCTACTAAACTGCATGTTGGTGCAAAATTACAGTTCTATCGACCGTATACCCTCGATACCTAGCCTAGATCCTCAGGAGTGCATGAAGCGTTCGGTGTGTGAGGCACACAATCAGCCTGATAGATATGGTCTACTGGGGCTAACGTTGCAGCTGATTTTTCCGTGAGTATTGTCTGTGTTCCCGATTCAAACTAATGCAACAATCTTTATTTTGCCCCTCGAAAATTCAACGACAAGCTACCAACAAACCTGAATTACCTTGACTGTAACAGATGTGAAATGCAACAGATTTTTTTTACCAAAGCACCGCAGTCAGAGTTGTCGAATGGCAAGCTGAAGCCATGAAGAAATTACTTCTGGGGGTGCAAGAGCAGAAGAAGGAAAAGCGCACCTCGATGCAAAAGAAGGTCTAGCACATTCTTAATCACAGACATGACTACGATGAAAGTACGATGTCATCCTCCGTATGTCCAACTAGAACTTAATTATGAAACTTGCCTACACATAACGTCGCTACTAAATTGATTGAAAGCATCGTTATAACTACCGACTTTTTTCATTGTTTCCTGTTGTTTTCAGTCCATATCTTGCTGGCGAAGATGAAGATGCACCAATGGTCTCAAAGTATCAGCAGGCAGCAAGATATGGCCGAAGAAACGATGCCGAATGTGGGCGACACTTCGATGGATGTATCGTTTCTCCGCTTGAAGTCACCCAGAAGATTATCAATTACTTAATACGCTAGAGCCGACTCGTTTCCGCTATTTTCAAGAATCTACTGCAGTAAGAGGAGCGCATGAGGAGGTTTAGTAAAATCTTTATCTATTAAAACTGTCTTGACAATCCGTTCCAACAACTCGGATTTTTTTTTGCAATCTGCCTAGACAAGCGAAGCAAATCAGAATGATTCCACAGGACCGAAACTATTATAGAGCGTAACACTCTCAAAAATCGAAAGTTTCAGCACCAGCCATTTTTGAGGTAGGAACGTCGACACGCATGCCTTTTGTTTTTCTTTCTTTACTTTACAAAAGCATCACTGCAGTAGCGTGTCATAATGAGTGCTACCATGCTGTATCGATTATCGGTTACTTATTTTTGCGCTGCTAAAAAAAAAAAGTGATCAACTTAAAACCGCTAAGCTTAAAGGTCAGAAAGGTAGCTCTTAGTTAGAGCTACCTTGCTATCCTCCTCTAAATTTATGGCTTGCGAGAGTAAGATTAATGGTTCCCTTCATATGTAAGTCATTGCAGCGATATCTGATCTTGCTATCGCTATTCGAAGTAGCTAAAGTGCTCCTAGACAAATTGTGCAATGAAAGGAACAACATTTTCAGCTAAGCAAGCTACTTTCAAGCCCTAGGATCACCTATTTGTAATAACTTACATATCAATGCATCCATCCATTATCTAGTCATTTAGTTTCTCTCATACAGTGCGCGTATAAACACCCGCAACAGGTTGTCCCCATCTGAACACGTGAAAACAAGCCCGGCGCCCTCTAGTATCGAATTTATTTAGTATTGAGTGTACACGTAGTGTGCGACAACGAACATACAATCTTATTATATTTACTCTCTTATTCTATCATCTTTCAGTAGCAATTACACGGAAAATAGCTATATCGTATTCTGCAGGATACCATAGGTACAGGAATAGAGTTAGGTAAAGACCCGTGAAAAGATCGAAATACTTTGGCTTTACGTTATATACATTCGAAATAATTCTACGTTTATATTCGAAATCTAATATCTAGGTACCTATGATTATGTTTGACGAACTTCGAAATGAATGAATTGGCTTTCATTTGTTCTTGTCTATGAAGTTCTATCGATTTCGGCGCAATTCCTCATGATTATAGTGATTCTTGTGAATATGAAATACTGTATTGAGCAGCTTCGAAGCGCGTTATTTGTGGTGGCCAGACCCAAGGCAGATGGTAGGCGTTCCACAAATAAATCGCTTCCACTCACAGGGTACAAGAAGTCTGTTTGTACTGATTGATGTCACGTGATAGTCACTGTCAAAACTGCCAAAAAACAGTGCGAGTTCTAAAACTAATTGGTGGATTATTACTATTATTGCTATACAAACGTGCAATTGTATTGCAAGTCTGATTTTTAATTAGCGACATTAACAGGTACCATACTTGGCTGAAAGCTCACACATACGCCCTCGTACATTGTTAGAAAAAAAAATTTGTCAAATACTACAATGTCTAAGGAGTCATATGCTAATAAAGGTACTTAATATTCACCCATTTTCCCAGGTGATAATTTATTAGATGTGAGCATTTCGTCACTTACTACGGCCCGAGGTAATAAACACTATTACGAAACGTATCCGTGTTATATATATATACATGTAACCGATACCTATACATATCTTATACCTAAACACTTTAATTAGAAGCGATAAACACTTATCATAGCCCGGTCACGGCACAGCAGATATTCAAGCAGCGTGTGCAGTAAGAAGAATTTTCTTCGGTACGACTGTACTTAACATGAAGGAGCCATGCACGGCAAGAACTGAATCTTCAGTTCAGTACTTGGTCTAAAACCAGCTGGAAAGAAGATAATTTGCCTTGTGAGGGCTCTAAATGAGTACGTAGTTATAGGACCTACGAGAAGAACCTTCACAATGAAGAGAACTGATTTTTATTTGGTACATAGGAAATATTTAGGCTATTTTCTAAGTCCGTGAAACCTTTTTCTGACTGATTCATTTATTTGATCCTCAATAAATTATTACCGAACTAATAAAGAAATCATCGGCTTTCGTTAACTACATGAAAATCAATGGACGTTCATGATAAACATCATAACTATTAAGATTTATATACATGTATATGAGAAGCAGCAGCAGCAGCAGCAGGATATGCATATTGTTTATGAGCATTATATTACAATGTCTCGTCCGCAGATAGATTAAGAAGCACGTCACTTGTTTTGAAAAAGATACAGAACTCGATTCCCTATTGTAAATTTCGAACTTCACTTTTCCCTTGAGTTAACCGCTCATCTTTTTGTCGTTCAAGATCAACGATACGAAATCCTAACTTAACGTATAAGAGTGTATGTTTGAATGTTATTGAAGAACAATAATGATGTGCACGATCATATAAGTTCGATTGAATTGATACACATAAAAGTAACAACAAAAGAAGTTTTGATGGAAAATGCTTCCAAATGTCCTTAGAATTTAGCTTGGACCTCTTAAAAGAAAACGGGAAACACTCGAGACAACACTTACCAAAATTATGAGATACAAAAAACATGATCAGGATCGTTTCATTACTTATAAACCGCGTACATTAACGTACCTAACGTAGGACAAACCTTACGAATAAAGTACCACGTTTCACAAGGGGTTTCACATCGCCTATCATCTCTGGTCACATTTTATGTAAAAGAATGGTTCAGAGTTTATTATTGGGCATTCTACAAATGAATTCTTTTCTGAGATAGATAGCATTGAAATAGGATTTGTCAAGTAAGGGGTATCTCTTGCACTGAAAGAAGTCACATGTGACACATCCTGAAGATAATGGAGCTAGGTCCTCTAAAATCTTCTGCACACGCATTATATTTCTATAGCTGACCACAGTTTTCGATTCGGACTGCTTTTGACGTACTTCCGCTGTGACTACCAAGACGTTCCATTTTCTCGACAACCTCGAGCCCGTCAATAACGCATCCAAACACGACGTGCTTGTTGTCAAGCCTGAAAGCAGTTGCAAACAGTACAGCTAATCCGGATGCTATTTCCAATAACACCTCACACAAACACTAACCATCACCATCTGAGATACCATAAGGCGGTTCCATTTTCTCCATATATTATTTTCGAAGCTCCTCAGTTTCATCTCCAAGGAACCCTGTAATAGGATTCCCTGTGGCAGGTCTCGAATCAACGAATATTTGCTACGTAGGGCTTAGCGACAGCCTTTTTAGTGGTATACAGGCCTGACCGTCAAAGGACAACTTCATTACGAAATTTTGTGGAACATAAATAATCTAAAGCGTAAATGCTCAGATACAGTAATAAATTGAGGCAACAGTCTCACCAAGGCGTTTTTGCAGTACAGATGAAAAATTGCGACCCGTTCGTGTTAGGTCCACAGTTTGCCATTGATAAAGTTCCTGGTCCTTCGTGGGTCAACTGAAAATTTTCATCCTTAAATCGATCACCATAAATTGATTTTCCGCCAGTTCCATTGTTGTTTGTGAAGTCACCACCTTGACACATGAAGGCTAAAAAAACAGAAATTAATATGATGTACATAAATGTTGATGGCTTTAACAAAAATATGGTCATGTTCCAGCATATAGAATAATAATTTTGTCCAATTTTCACATCTATGCACTGTTGAAATACTGTCAAATTTCCACGTGACACAATTCAGGATGTTCAATAAGTTGGGTATATGCATTTTTTTTACTAGTAAATAATCATAGAATTTATTAAACACATTAGAAATGCGATAAAACTGTGCCTCATCGATTCTGACAATAGTGTAAGATTTTTTTTAAATACAGGAGGACGGTGGCGTCACTCATATTTTTTGCTGTGCCATAGGTCAATATTGTTATACGTACATTTGACTGAATGTGGGTTAGATACTTTACAGGGTACTACTAACCAATCTGTAAATATGGTGTTAATATAGCTTTGGTGGGAATATTTATAATTCACAAGTGACCCCTGACTGGCACAGTTGACCGCCGTTTCTAAGGCGTAAAAGTTTACATTTTATTACTGAATCAATAACTAGGACCTTTTGTTGTTAAGTACTGCTTGGCACGGCTGGCGCTAAGCACAAAATCAAATGAATGAGAAGTATTATAGATTTCCGCAGAAATATTTAAAGTATCCGTAGCTATCGTTCTCACCTGGAATAACTCGGTGAAATAAGCAGCCTTTGTATCCGAAACCCTTCTCACCCGTACACAAGGCTCGGAAGTTCTCAGCGGTCCGAGGTACCACGTCCGCGCGGAGCTGTAGTGACGCGGAAGGTAAAGGGAGCATCACAACAATATCAACCGAAAGTAATATTTTCCCCGTTAAACTCTAAATAAATAATCTGCCCTATGAGAAACAGCCTTAGCCGAAAGCGGCGTCATGTGGAAAATGAATCTGAAGACTTAAGTGGTAAACACAATATTCAAGGGTTTTAAAAATGTTATAAAAAAGATTGAGGTAAAGGACAACCAAGTAGAAAGTAATTTCCCGACATCCTATTTCAGCATATGTAGAATGGACAAGCACGGGAGACTGGCGATCAAGTGTGAATTCAATTGTTCTCTTCGAAGGATGAACAACCTTCGTGGCCGTTTTTATAACGTTCCTCGTTATAAAAAGACCACGAAGTTCCTATTAGGTTCGCTCCTTGTTTCACATTGTAAGTTAGTTGTTGTTGTTGTTGTAACCTGTCTCTGAGCTAGTTCTCTATGCATAGAGATAAATACTTTGGGATGTACTGTATTTTAACACTCATTAAAAAATACACAAAGAGATGAAAACGAGCCCATCTGTCTTAAATATTGCATATTGTAAGATAGCTTAATTCGAGAGTAATTCTTCATACTTGAGAAACATTTTGGATATGGAAAACATGATCGAAAAATAGGTGGTCTCCCTGTTCTCGTTCTCTCCTATTGCTTAAAAATAAACCTGACGTTTTCGTTAGAGAGTTATAATTTAAAAAAAAAAACTCGATATCTCAAAAGGGTGCCCTGGCTTAAAGTTTAAAGACAGTGCGGCACTTGCCTATGTTTTTACAAAAAAAAAAAAACTTAGTAAAATCTCTTAAAAGTATCTTTAATCATATACGATATAATGTCTGTTGAGAGACGTTAGAGAAATTACTGCAGTGGATATCAGTTTTACTCTATTCATCAAATGAACACCCAGAGCCACTTGCAGCGGTACAATCTCAAATAATGTAGTTCTATTATTTTGTTGTTGTTCATTAGGTAAGTACATATCAGATCAATTGAGTAGGGTTTCCTTTTTAAATACCAACCTCGGCGTCTGCCTTCATATTTAGAAAATGAAATATTGAAACAGATCAAACAGCTTCTTAGTTACACTAGTCCCCGATATACCTCACCCTAGGATATATAAATAGTAAGCAATTCGGCACGATTACCTTTATTGCGCTAATCATTACTCTGACCATTAAAAAAACCCCATCCGTTCCGTTTTTCACGCTCGTGAAAGCTCAGTTCAGCGTATATTCAGTCATTACTCGTTCTACCCCAACTACTTAAAGTTCTGCCACTTCTCACTACATTAGGCGATCCTGCACTCAATCCGCTATTGTGCTGTTTTTTTTCCTAATAAGCATTGCTTAGTATGACGGCGCGAACCGTAAAAACAAACTTGTAGTCCTTATTGTTCCGAACTATTATGTAATTATTAAACCATATCACTGAAAATGGCCAAAGCCGACTCTGATAATCGTCGCATCATGAGTTACTATTCCGCGTGAGTTACGACAACAGAGGCAGCTGCAGCATAAACCTAACTGAATGATATCTCTAAGCATTCTTGGCCGAGATGTTCCCCATCCACCTACATTAACCATGTGACCCCGTTGCCGGCACCTGACTGACCCGGCTGCGACTACCATCACTTGCCGCAAGCAAAACAGTTGCGTTCTCAACGTTTACATGCACGCAAAGTCAGACGGCGAGCGGACGTGGCATGCACTAAATCCTTCGCATCGACGTACACTATATCTGATTGATACACACGTAAAGTAGTATTCCAGTCACACACACGCCGCATCCGTACCGTACCTACGTGAAGCAGGTCACGGGGTAGAGCGCGTTTCATCTGACTAATTCTATTAAATTTCAATTAGCCATTCGTCTAACATGAGCAACTTCAACGAAAAACAACATACCTCCATTGTGATTCGACCAAGAGGCTCATCGTCCGCCACGATATCGAAGAATACGACCGGATTTTCGCGCGGTCCACAATTACAGATGTTGCCCATACTGATCTGAGAATTGTACCGTTTTTCAACAATGACAAAGAAAGACTTCATTAGCTGAAACCACACTGTTGACCTGCAATGATTCCTCTGAATAAGGTTTATCGGTTTGAATGAATAATTAATCCGAACGGTGAACAATTTTCAGAACAAAACAGTGATAAACAAACTCGTACGATACTATACGAAGATACCGCTGGACACTGGGTGATGGTAAAGAAAGAAGTTCCGCTAAATGACTTATTTACACTACAACAAAATTCGGTGTTGGTATACTAGGCTACTATCGGTATAGCGTGAATAGCCCACATCCTTCTCAAACTCTCAGTCGTTCGATTCGTATGCTTTTGCACAGATAGACAGGCGAGAAGACCTTCAGTTGGGTCGCCAGGGGGCGCTAACGGACGCCGACAAAGTTGTTATGCGCGGCCAGTTCCTAAAGTCTGGGCTGCTTCACTTGCGGGCCAAAATGCAGAAAAAGATTATTGCGGATTTCCTATTATGTAAATTTTTTTCCGTTGTTAATTTGAATTGTACAAAAAATTCAAGACCGTACATTTTAGGAATGCTGTCAGCGTCAGTGAAACGCATAGTTTCTATGTCACTTACATGCAAACGTGAATACGGTCTCCATACACGTTTTGTTTGCATTAGGTTTCCTTTAGATTGACAGCTTCTTCGCTAAAAAAAAAAAAAAAATAATGGGTTAATGGCATAAATATTCAAACTCACGGAGCTGTAACTCAAAGTAGTTGGTCGAATTTTAGATAGAGAACGAGCCTTTGATGTACTTCATTTCAAATGCAATATTTGTCCAACATGCAAACGTACAGAGGATCAAGATTATCACGCGTTAATTGCAGTATTTAATTCTGCGAAAATCAATGTTATCGCTCATTTGTTTCACTGCTTTTTTTTTTTATCGAAATTCAATAGGCTGAGATAATCCGCCATGTTCGAAACGGACTCGAGTTTGAGAAATGCAATGGGTGTACGTTCAACAGCAAACGTTTCAGTTGACTACATCATACGAATCTCTTATTGGTTATTAAAAACGAACATAGAATGATTATATTAGGCATGCAAACAAAGAAAAAGTTCAAGCGAAATCGGCACAAAAATCAATAACCCGCCTTTGATTCGATTTGACAGTATATTTATTTTGTTGAAGAAAAATCCGAATTACGAAGGACGATAGTACACCTTTTAGCATTACGTTTAGTTACTGATTTATATAACTTTATATTATAGAGTTAGGGAAAGCCCATTTTCCAAACATAAACCATATTTGACTGTGAATACGTATTAAATACGGTATGAAAGCATTTAGATAATAAATGGATCAATGATTCTCCTCTAGCTAAGTTGGAGGCTGGTTGTTTTGATATCATTCTATAGCAGTTATTTAATCTACCCTATATTGCTAAAGGATTCCATTTTGCTGTCAATAAGTGCTTTAATGTAAAAAGTAATGGCTTGGTGCTACATGCGTTTGTATAATGCGACTCTGGTATGCGGCACACCTACAGCTCTTCAAAGTTAAAGTTAAAACGAGCAGTTCATACGAACTTCATTACATTTAGTTATTGCGGAGGCAGATTTTGCCCCATTTTCATTAAGGTCCGTATACAAATTTAGTAGCCCATAAGCGTTTGGTCCATTAACCTTTGTGTTGCTTAAATACCTAATCATTGTTGACTTAGTTACAAACTATACAAAATTATACAAAAATAAAAACTCGGTCACGTAGGAATCATAACATATATAGTGCACCAATTGTTTATTCGTATCAATTCCCCCAACTGGTTTACATAATACGCCTTCGCTTTACTTGGCCTAATGAGAGAATAGAACAAACAGTATATTTAGAGGCAGATGTGTTTTATGACCAAATAAACTTGCAGTGATCATGCTATACTGTCAACTTGTAGGACGCAAGCAATAAACCCGATTTCATTTAAAATTCATAATTAATAAGCTATGCCAGCGGTAAACGAAAAATCGAGTCTATTTTGTTCCAATATTTTTATTTGTAAAACGCACTTTGTTTTATTAATATCGTAGGTACCACATTTATTTGTGTTTTTGGTGACCTTATATTCAGTAGACATTAATTTATAATGTTAATAGCTCTAAGTAAAATGAAGAAGCAATATTATACTTTGGTTAAATGTTGTTAGAAGTGGCTATTTCCGCACGATACCAGCTGGTCGGTAACAACTCTCTTCTATCGCTACATAATGGTCAAACATAGGTTTGATTTTGTGGAGGTAGATCGACAGGGTTTTTTGGCAGAACCAGTTTCTTGCTGTTGCTGACATCCTTAATCCATTTTCGAAATCTCTCGAAACGTCCTGTGAGCAGAACCTGCCCATCATCGGATATAATGCCTGCTGACCCTGGGGTGCAATTTACAGATAAGGGAATAGATAGCGCCATAAAAATTTCCGAAAGGTCATTCGTAAAAGTAACTGAGCTAAGGAGTTTTAGCATTAAGATTCAGCGGTGTGATTATGCAGACAACAACGCATGAGTGTTTTCTGTTAAATGAGAGTACTCAGTGATCTGTGCTGATTTAGGCTCGAGGTCGGATTAGGCAGTCATTATCTAAGGACATTTGGTTCCTGCTAGGGCATCAGAAAAAACTTACCCGACTTTCGCGAGCAGAACACCTCTACACAACATGTTCACTTTTTTCTACAAGTCCCACATCTACCGAGTAATAAATCGAGAATAATATTTTTAAATAATATGGAAAATAACCGCAATTATTAAGCTGTTACAAGCGACTTCGGCGGACTTTGAAATTAAATAATTTTTGAAGTAGCTGAGCTTGAATAGTTTTTCAATATGTGTTAGAGGTAGTCTTTTTTATTTACATAGCGTTCTAGTGCTCAGACAGGTTCTCAACAGGCATACTCTTCTTTTTTGCATTCCCACATGTCATTTCTATATTCATGGCTTATTGAAGCAAATCGATAGATGGATATGCTTGCCCACCAGTTCCTTTTTTACGAAATGAAAAATCTGATAATCACACAGGTCGGGGGAATAGGCGAATTGATGCCGTCGTTGTATACTTTGTTGCTCAATCTAGGAAGTAACTGACGCATGGCGACGAGGTCGGGCATTGTCAACAAATAAACGGACCGTGTGTCTTCGATTGCCGAACCGATAGCTCGTGAGTCTTACGAGAAACTGGAGATGGCGGACTGCATTCACACAAGTGCTACTGTCACCGTACATTCAAACCTACCCGGTACTATAACCAAACCCGATTTCTCGCCAGGATGACACCGCTCTTTTGTTTAATCCTTCTTGGTCTGCCACCAGAGATTGAATACTGCCTCGTCTGTAGGGACCGTGTGCTCCCAGTAAGTTTTTCGTTGCTTAACGTTTTGCAAGTCATACGTGGAACACGCCACACACATTTCTAACTCATTCAGTTTCAGTATTTGGGTCGTAATTTTGTAGCACGTTGCAGATTAAATGCCAGTTCTGACCGACCGAACCTTCAATCGTTAAGCTCTGCTTTCGATTATTACAGCGTTCTTTCTTCGGGCCCCGACACCTAATCACCTCTACACTCGTTTTCAATCTCGGTTCTTCAAACGTTTTGTACTGCGTTTTTGCTATTGTCAGCTGCCTTCACCAATACGCGATAAATTTCCATAGCGCTGTTGTTACTTCGAAGGGATAAAAACTTAATAAGCGTTGATTTCTAAAGCTAAAAGATGCTTTTAATGGATTTCTTGTGGAGTTTTATTTATGTTTTTGTACTGAAGTACTTATCAACTAGATTTAATCTGCTAGCGGCATGTGGTTCAAAAGTTACTCGATTTCATAGTCCGTTCGATTCGTTTCTAACAGCTTAACAAAAAAAAAACAACAAGACTTAAAAATGTTTTCTCATCTTTTTAAGTCGAAATTGCATATCATATTCTAGCACTTGACTACAGCATACTTGATATGTACGGTGCCTTTACTTTTTTCTGATATGATCTAAGAAAAAGTCAATAAATAATACGGACAATCCATTTACGAATATGCCTGTATTAGAGCAATAGAGATATCTGTAGTTGATATAGGTCGACATAAACGAGTTACCTGTGTTTACAAGCATTGTATTCAAGCAGACGCCTTTAGTCGTAATCTTAAGGGAAACATCGGCAGAAGCACGCTGGCAACAAACGGGTCGACCAAATAGGCAAATTTTACCTGTATACAGAGCAACAGCATAGGACAGTAGACGAGTGTGCAGTTTTGATGGCGTCAATAAAAAAAATGGCGTTAAAAATTGTGGTACAACTTTTTTTTTCTGAACTATTGCTTCTTTATTTCGTTTGTTTTACTATAAACGTAGGCTCTAAGCAATATATAGAGGTTGAAAAAAATTCAGTTAGCAAAATGATTTTTCATCATCATTTCATCAGCCTATAACCATGATGATCTTCACTTTTGATGATCTGAGGAGAACGGCAGTTTACTTGACTCACCTTCTGGAGTTCGATCGTGAAGGAACTGGCAGTGTGCTTGAGAATCCTTGGAACAGCATTTCGGAATAGGAAACTCAGTCAGCGCGCATGGTGCGGATGCCGGGGCCCATGAAAGATTTTGAGGCAGGACCAAAGTGTCTTCTGTTTCATCCCGTCCCAACGGACAAACTTCACCTGGACTGTTAAAAAAAATTACCAGATATTTTTAGTGAAGAACAGTAGCATAAGCTGGCATTATATTATGCATTTCCAGCTAGGTCTTCAACCAGTATGAATCCATTTACTAAGGTACAATTACAATACTGACACTTAACAATTTTAATAGTGGGGAACAGACAAGTCAGAACGCTTGTTACCCAAATGAACTACTTCTGTTACTGTGAGTCCCACAAGGATAAACTTACATCAAATGTTCTTCGGCTCCTGGGTTCGGGCAGCATCTAACCCTCATTGAAGGTCGAGGCGCTGGCAATCTGATCGATTTGAGGCTTAATTTAGATTTCGGATCGGTCCAGACAGTGTAGAGAACTAGGGTCTCATTAGAGGCGCAACCCCACAGGGAAGTGGCATTAGGAACAATGTTGGTACCGTATACATCCGCCACTGGGAACCCTAAAAAGGGCTTTAAACCTACATCAGAAATGGGCCACGGTCCAGTCTTCAACCCAGAACAACATACAGTTGTCGAGACAACCCACGCTATCTTCATTAGTATCGACATAATGAAGCGTTTTCTTGCAACTTTAATGCTACACTTTAAAAAAAGACTTGTCGAAATTGGCTTCGATTATATAAATGCAGCACACGGCTTAGGTGTAGAACCAAATCATTTTAGCAAAGTTGCAGTAGTAGAAGGCTAATCTGCGCTATAGGTAAGTAGTCGGTGGGACTAGTATATTTTATGTATATATATATATATATATATATATGTACTCGACTGACCTCTTTTTGTCGGTGAAGGAATCATCTGAATTTATGATACTAGTTTCCCTTTCTTGTGATGCTTGCTGCAATACGATATTTTGACACGAATCTCATACAAGAAAATGAAACAGGCGACGCTAAACCTTGTCGGTGTAATCACGCCCTCACTGCGAATATGGCTAGAATCAGGTGGATTCGTATAATCCGTAAAGTAAACCGCGCGCTGTGGGGACTTTCCCTACAATGACCGCTAACCTAGCTATCTCTTTATGTTATGTTAAGTTATGAGATAACTCAGTCACAAATTCAGAGCTTGGAATGTGTACAGACACGGCTGTATTACGCGTCAACCACCTCCTAAAATCAAACAACTTCTTGTCCTCTGTTACGCTACGCACCTTCTATGTATGCTACGCAGATCTGACATTGCGCTGTCGCGAAGGCCTCGCCGCAAAGAACATTCTTCGGAACTACACAAACCATCGCTCTGTGCCATATAGGGATTTAATTAAATAGCTTTCTTTTTTTTTTGTTAAGATGTAACCCACGAAAACGAAAACCATTTAGCAGTGTAATAGATCAGCATTCGTGAAACACAATCCACGCGTATGTTTCTCGTGCTGTGACCTGATTAGAGACGCGATTCGAAAGATAAATGACCGCTGATCAGTAAATTCGTCACGTCAGCTCTTTGGTATAAGTCTTCGTTCTACTAGCAAAATGCCGAATAAGCAGTGGCATTGGTTACGTTTGTGATAGAATCAGGCTACTGGAAGTCGAGGTAATTTTCGACTTTTAGGCCGTCGTAAAGAAAGAGTTACCTCGCTAGAAGTTCATTCAATTATGGTACAACGACTAACCTTAAGTTCTTCTTAATTATTAAGGCGAATTATTGCTCTTCATATGGACAGAATGTATGTAATTTCAATTCGAAACTATAGTTAATAGATAATTAGTTGACACTATTACGAATTATTATTATTTGTTAGCTCTGATGGTCAACAGGCATTTAAATGTGTCGTTTGTAAAGCAAAAAATAGAAAACAATGATGGCGTATTTCGCACCAGATGGCGCAGTTTTCGTGCAAGAAGCTGTCTACAAATTCATGTTCGCTAGTTTATCTACTACTCTCTGAGCTACTATGACAGGCTATGTTAACAACGCTATACCCTATAGCGTGAAATCTCTGACATAAACGTCTGACAGCTGCTAATTAATATGTGATATATTCATTCATCCCGAATACAATGTTTTACCGAGACACGACGTTCATTAGTATGGCTTTTTTTTTTTTTTTTGTTTCTACAGTAGTATTTTCTTTATTATTATAAAAACGAATATCAGTCTGAACCAAGAAAATGTCCGTGTCTTGTTGCAGGACCGTCGGAAAGTCTGCTCAGGTTGTAGCACGACAACGTGCTGAGCTTCAATCTAGTACTGGCAACAGACCCGTTGTTGCCCCTGGTCCTTTTTGCCTATGTCGTGTTCATGGCCTCATTTAATCAAACGCGGTAGCGTCATCGTTACCATTGATGTTTTTGTAGACCACTGCCTAACGAGATTTACGAAACGGGTATATGACCTACTCGGCTAGGCGTGTTTCACATAGACTGAGTGTGAGCCATTGTAGGCTAGGATGGCTGTAGCTGCGTGATCACTATCGACGTATATTTTCTAGATTGTATGGAAAAACTTAAATAGTGTACGAACATAAGTTGAGTGACCGTTGGTCTTGACCCTTTCAGCCGGGAGACTTGCACATAAGCGATATTCTCTCAGGTCCTTGCCAATTCGCGTCGGTGGTCTAAGTGGACACATATTCTTGTTGGCAGAAAGCTTGCTACTTTTGTTACATTCATTATATTCGACATGGTGGTTATTCTGGAACAGCCAAACGCCCGTTTTTCGGATTTCGACAAAAGAAGGCGATAATTATGGTTCGAAGATATGGAAACCAAGCTAAGACTTGTGTAGGGCCCTCGACTGATTGTTACGATACATGATGAAATAGCTTATGGTGGCTGTACACGATTATCTCTTCAGCGAACGGACAATGTACTTCATGAGCGTTATTTTCAAAGACAAAGAGAATTGTCCCGATTAAGTATCTCTTCATTTCGGGCTTCTTCGCGTCAACCAGTTTTACCATAAGTTGATTTCGGGAATGTGCAGACTAAACTATCTACATGAAGCGGTATTGCCCGAATTCAGTATGTCCTATGAGCACTATTTGATTTGAAGTTTCTGCACAGGAAGTGCGCTAGTGCCGTTACATGAACAGGAAGATGAAGCAATCATTTAGGCCTGATTGTGTTTTTTTTAGACAATTTCTACATCGATTTCTCAGAGCATTCAGCAGCGAATACATAACACGATTGTTTTTGACTCGGTTAGTGGATGTTCCTGACGATGCTGTTGCGTGTTCGAACAAAGGGACACGTTGTTTCGTTTTCTAACACTCGAACAGCTGTTTTTCGTATTATTTTTTCATGTTTCCTACTAAACAATAACAATTGCTCGAGTCGTGACTGATTACTCGTGCATATCGCTTTCATTCGGTGATGATCTATTCGTCTCTCTCTCTCTCTCTCTCTCTCTCTCTCGCTCGCTCTCTCGCTCTCTCTCGCTCTCTCGCTCTCTCTCTCGATTTGACGAATGCGCTCAATCGAGACGCACGCCGGCCAGGAGTGTTCATAGACCGGTGTGCGATTGCGTTTCACCGTTCTGCGGCTCTGTGGGGGTCTATGCCACTGTGTCTTTTTATAGTGTATCAATTACATCAGTTTCCCATTACACATTCGTTCGATCGGATCTAGTAACGAAACGTCTGACTACTTCTCTTCGTCTCCTCTGTACGGTCCCGTACTCGATCGATTAGTAACTGGTGAGATCTTGTTTTGAGAAACTGTTTTGTTGTTGATGATGCGCCATTTAATCGTACTGCTCTGGGCTGTAACGCAGAAAGCTCAGTAGAAGCTCGATTTGCCTACGCTCATCTCATTTACTGCACTACTGTATATCGACTTACTTACGACCACTTGATTTCTACTTACGTACTTACTTACTTACTTACTTACTTGAATAAATTCAATTGTATTCGGTGTTAGTAGAATTAACACTAGTTACAGCTGTGGAAGCATCTGAATGTAAGCTATCGCCTACCCGTCGGCGAACCGAAGAAGATTCAGCACGCTTAACTGCCGTCTATCCGTATATAATACATACAGTTACCTAGTGATTGGGATGCCACAAGGGAACATGCGGTACGTTCGAAGCCAGCATGGTCACGATTGAGTTTCGAAAACGTGTTGTCCTAAGGTGTATTTTGTAAAAGCCGAGAGAAGTGACACAGTAGGAAGACTGCTATGGTGAATGTACTTTGGAATACGTAAACGTAATTCGATTGCTCAACAGCATATGATTCTGCGACAGTACCAACGTCATAGACAACAAACACGCTTCGCCTCAACACAAGTACCGATTTCGTTTTTAAGGCCGTGTTGCTGCTTAGGCCTGAGCCGGCCAGTACGACAGCTAGCTAGCTAGCTAGCTAGCTAGCTCGATTAGAAGTTCATTTCCCATTATCTGCTTTTTTTGATAGAAACCTCTGTCTATGCTCGTTCGTAGCATGTAGTAAATGTGTTCCCCGTTGCCGGGACGTACGCTCGATACCGCGGCCCGAAGCTTCAAAATGATACGCATTTAATGCAGCGGCGAATCTCCAATTGTAACATAATACAATACCCCATCCATTTATAGCATATGTCCAAAAGCTTTTTTCGTTCGCCCCCCCAGTTCTTCAAGCCTTGACCAATTGTTTCTTTAGTCAAATGTGATATGTCGCGAAATTCAATTTACAAACTAAATACACGCAGTGTAGAGGCGTTATGAAATTATTTTCTAGCTAATTTTTGGCAAAACACTAGTCTGCTTAGTGTTTCACGTTACCGTACACAGTTCAACAAGGATTTAGCGCTTTTGTAGGTTCTGATATCTTCTACTATATAGTGTAGTTAGTGCTCAATACGTGTAACACGCGCATCATCTTTACTACCTGATACGAGTCATATGTACAGCGCATCACCGCCATGACGCCGAACCATTCAGCAGGACTCTCTCACTTCAGGTTGAGCGAAGCCGTCTCACAGCTATACTATTAGTTTCTATCTAAAAGTACGATGATTACGAATTATAGATAGAGTCAAGCAGTGTAGAATGTATCCTTCGTAGTGACACGTGTGCAAACTACGTTGAGAGAGTCTCTCTCGTCGTGCTGTAGGAACGTTGCTCCTCCGCTTTCATAGCCGTAGGTGACTGTTCGCGACAAGAAACAGAGGACGTTGTTCGAGTTCTAACGTGCGGCTCTACTGGGGGTAGTTTGAAATTTCGATTGTATATGGATATGTCTTTAGCTGTGCGATAAACACGGAGCGGAACCTGGCCAACTACACAGACTACATCTGCGCCCACGATTCAAGATTTATTCATCCTAATATTTCGATTGTTAATAAATATGTGTTTCTCGTGATGTACTACTCTGTTTACCTAATCTATGCTAACATCTGTAGCGATTCCAGTGTTTGTGTCGGGGCGCCGCCGTCCAAACTAGTGTCCTCCAGCTGGACCCTCCCAACTGTTAGGCACCTACAATGCGGCCAGTGTCCCTTCTTGTCAACTACGTACAAGGGCCTATCGATTCACCAGCGCAAGATACATAATTTGGTGACCAAAGGAAGCTTCGCGCGCAGGTCTAACATGCACTCCTACAACAAATCACATTGTAGCGTAAGCACGTTGCTTACTCATCAGGAACGCTAACATTTAGTATGCCCCCCCACATTTACAGTTATCAATTCCCTTGAAAATAGAGTTCATCTATCTATATCAAAATTGTAACAGAGCGTAAACATTTTACTAGACCAATCGATTTTTCACCCGTATAAGCTTCCCCTGTGGACGACTCTAGGTAATCGGACATCGTATAATACCTGCTCTCCAAATACTGTCCATTATATTCCATTGAATGGCTTTGGGCCATGCGTTATCTTCGAAACCCAAATACTGTCGAGTGCGATGACCTCCATCCTGAGCCTCAGGGATATTAGATTCATGTTACATTATGAAATAGATTAGTACTCTTTAGTCCATTTCGCCGTATTAGGCCATATCGGGCCATCGATGCACCAAGCATCGATCGAGGCAACTAGGTCAAACAAAATGATCCAGTCAACACAAAAAACATATAGCCCGAATAACTCTCGCCACTAGAGAGTTACTTTTCGACCGTCTCATCACGATACGTGATTAGAAAAGGTATTCCTTGTGCTGCACCAAAATTCTATTGGTTGTGAACTTACCCTATCCGGAAGCGTTCCTTATCTAACGCTATTCAGTAGTAAGTGCCAGTACGTGTCATTGTAAATAACGCGATTCAGATTTGTCAATAATTAAGCGCTTCAAACTTAGCGTTGAACTAAGGATCGCTGATTTGCGTTACCGCTACCAGCGTCGCTAATTTTGGCAAACCTGACATCACCGATTGTCTATTTCGTGCATCATGCGTGCGTATCTCCTCAGATCAATAGAGCTGAGGTTAGTAACTGCAGTTCGTCCATCGTGTTCGATATTATCGTACAATAACATAGGCTACGCTGGCCGTGCCGATTAGGCCCCGCTAATAAACAATCGCTAATCGATCTATTTATTGTACACTGTGCACCACTCCGAAAACTCTTTGCGTTGATTAGCTGCCGCAAATAAGCACTACGTGTTTGTAACGAAAACTTAACGATGCAGAATTCTAGCTCTGTTGCAAATAGAAACCAAGAACAGCCTGTTTTTTAGGTACTGTCCACGCCAAAAGACGGCGACACAGGCCGACACTTGCGCATATTGACCAACTGTTAACCCTAATGTGTGGACTATATGGGCTCATTACTACGACGACACCAGGGGCAAATGATTTAATGTCTACCATTTATTATATTAGTCGCAATTGTCTGGCATATTGTTTAACCATTTTAGAATGTTACCATGTGGGATGCAGTTGTAGATGTTTGCGCACGGTCGTCGACTGCGGACTTACTTACGGATCAATGGGAATAATATTACAGCTCCAATGCCCGACACACCCATGCGAACAATTTAAAATGACAAATATAACGAGTCTGCAAGTGGTAGAAAATGCAGATTCGGACTCTTCGCTCAACGGTTAGAGTATAGGTGACCTGCATTTTCATCCTTTTATGCCTTGACGTTTCATTACTATTTCACAGGAAGGCTGCTGAAACTCGAGGGAAGTCAGTAAAAATTAGTCAGGAAAATCAAGCAGAACAACAAAGTACTTCAATGAAGAGTGAAACTTGGGGAGCACCTTTCAAATGTATGATCTGCGGAGAATTGCACAGTGATAAACTGCATCTCGGTCAGCACTTCGAAACACGTGAGTTCGACTGTTGATGCATACACACTGTCGTGATGAAGTCTTCAGAGCTTACCACTTCGATTTATTTTGCTACTGGAGTGCTTCCGGCGCTCTCGAATTTCTTTCAAAGGCTATTTCGAAAGTCATGAGGCAAGCGAGCTTGGCCTCTGGCCCACGCAACTTCCATGCGTATATTCTTCGTCTTGGTCGCATTATAAAAAAAACTAGTTCCAACCGCGTGCCACACAAATTGTTTCCAGAATAACAATAATAACGGCATATATATTTACTGCCTTAGATCATGCTGGACGTAGCCAAGAAGCAGGCCAACAGGTGTCAGCCGTCACTCCAGAAGACGACAGTAAACCGTCCACTTCCTCGGCGCCGTCAGTCAACACAGCCGAATTCCCCGCAAGCAGCACTTTAAACAGCCATAGCCTTCAGCATGTCAACGTGCCGCACGCCAGTTACACGTCAACGCCCATCAGGGGACCTGGCGGACAAATTCTTGGATGGATCAGGTATACATTTATTCTATGGTGTCTGCGTATCCACTAAACTTGCTCTGCCCCTGCCATCTTGTATGAAATGATCTAAGATTATATATACGTATATGAAAGCCCTTCGACCGAAAACGACAAATGTCGTGGTTAATAACTATCCTATTTTTAAGCCTATAATGGCAATATATAGATTTGTAATGCTTTAAACTAAGGAAACTTTGGAGTGTATCACTAAACAACTTTTTTTTTTTTTTTAATTTTCGCACTTTACCCTTTCAATTAAGAACTCCAATACGAAGTGGCGGTACAGATGTGAACAATCCAGCATCCATTTTCCATCATCAGTTCTCCACGCCCCTGATGAGCCCATTGGTACATGGGCCATCCTCTCAGTATTCACGTCTTCCCACAGATATCGTTTACAGTAAGTTATTATTGATAGCGCTTATATGCCGACTTGGGTTCCTTGCAGGATTTTCATGTGATAGCTGGATCATCAGCGATCTTTGCACAGCTGTACGTCATTTCCCCGCGGCTCTTATCGAAATAGTTAGCGGCCCCTATTCTGACCGTAGTAAACCTACGACTATCACAACCGGTTAGAACGATATGTCAGTTGTCGAGGCCACCAATTCCGTGGCCTATCCTACCAATTCCGTTAGCAAATCTTTAATAGCGGCTATGCTAGCATGAATTTTCCTATGCTTTCAGAGGAGGAACCGGATGAATATGTGAGCGATTACTTCCTGTCGCCTTCATATCCCGACCCTCTTTTTCATCATCATTCGCACTCGATCGGACACCCCCCACCTCCACATGGCCAGCATCAGCTCTCTGTCCCCCAGCATCAGCACACTCAGCAGCCCCTTCAAGCGCAGTCATTCTATTACGGCAACCCTGCAAGCTACGAGACCCGTCCCGGCGACTATGGATCGGCGAGCTATGGCGGATGATGTTGCCTTAAAGCGAAGACAAATAGTGTCAGGCTATGATAAGCAAAGGATTCGCCGTTCGCAGCCGGTAAATGCGCAGGAATAAAGGATTCTTATGCTTTTGATATCATATAACGGGCTGAGTTTGTTTCCACTCACCTGCAATAGGCCGCTCAGACTGTAACAGTATAACATATTTGCTTGGCAGAATCTGCTTAGAATTTTTGGGAGATGCCTTAAGTGAATTTTACTCAGTTTGATCTGTATGTGAGTATCTTCTAGATGCCAAAAAAAATTATGGACTAAATCGTCTCCGAAATAAAGCAAATCGATAACTTGATTAAAGTATATGACTAGTGTGCGATAATGTCCAAGGATTCATACGCCAGTTAGAGGGCTTAAGCCCACATTTGGAGTCGGCACCTACTTGAGCTGCAAGCGTTGCCGACATAAACAAGAAACTTAGCGAAGTCACTAAAGGAGTCGGCAAAGATGGTATGTGAAGTGGACTAAAGACTTCTCCGTGCAAAAAACCTATTGTCTAAAAAATGTGGGCTTTGTCGAACAACTGCAACGTACAGCCAGCCGAACTGCGGAAAAAGGGCAACTTATTAATTGGTCCAATTTCACCTTGTCAGTAATACTAATATAAATATTTTCTATATAAAAACGAGTCGCTTGATGTTGAAAAGTAAGACCCTTTTGATCAGATCTTGATTCTCGCTGTCTAAAACAACTTCCGGGCGAACGTCAGTTCAGAGAGGCTTGTTAACAAATAGAAAAAAGTACATATAATCGACCCGATTTTATAATATGTTCTATCATTCGACTATATATTGGATAATTCGTTGCTGATACCGCCGTATATAAGGTTCATACGAAATCGGTTTGACCCGGCGAGCCTGGCTTCAGAATCAAAAACGTTTAAATTATTGACTGAGTTAGATCTTCATCGACTGATTCCTGCTTTCCTTTCTTTTCAGCAAGGACGCATTGTGGCCGACTTACCGGTGACGCCACCCTATACAAATAAAGGCTTGGCTCAGTTCATTTAAAATAGCAAAGGAAACTGTATTTATTAAGCGCTATGTAAGGATTGTACATGAAGTTCCACATAATAGTACGTATCTAGTACAAAACGAATTTTAGAAAAGTTTCTGAAAAGCCTGACAAATGGTGTCTACTATAATGGTCAAAACGTGTAAAATACAAATATCTAGCTTCAGCCAATGGGTGTTGCCTTTATGTAGTGATTATTACATGTATTAGATAACGCACGCAGGACGTTAATAATATAATAGGTCAGTTTCAAACGACAGTACGTGTATATATATTTTTCGGTAAGTTCAGGTTAAGCGGTTTGGAACAATCTGAGAAAAATCTGGGTTACTCAGAAGCTTTTTACAAAGGCTAATTCAAATCCTAAATAGAACTTATTAACTACGCTAAGTATCTTGTAAGCCTACTCTGGGTCACATGTACGGACAACGTAAATGTCCTGGACTGTTTCCAATGGTTTTCCAAACTGTAAGCTTAGTAAGTATAATAATATTTGTACAACGAGTTCGAGCGTGAATGTGTTTTTAAGGGTAATTCTTAATTTAACTGCGAAGTTTTCGAAAAAGTTGTTTGTGTATATTGAAATCTATTTATACTTTATTTCACCCTGTTCACTTTGTTTTGTTTCCTGTAGATGAATGATATGGTTGATAAAAAGCGGTCGAACTAATCGTGCAGGATAACGTGGCTAGTATTTCTGGTCTATATGTGAAATTGGTTCATTCATACGCCCATGGAGCAAACACTCGGAACGCATTTATGTTAGACGTGCCGCAAAGTGCACGCGTCTCTTAAAATACGAGAATAGATCCAGGGAGAAAACGATCCATGTTAGCAGTTAGGGTCGTATTGAGGGGCTAACTTAATCAGTCATACGGTGGCTGACTAAATATAGGAGTGATAGTGTATTGTCCATTCTAAGAGGCTGATCTCTATTCGAACCAGATCGGATTCGAACGCTCTCGTACGGAAACACTCACCGTCATGTGATGACGACGTCATCTTGTAAACTGACTATGATTTCCTATCGGAACGCTTTTCTTTGGTTATTATTATTATTGACACCGCCTGTCCGTAGGCCGGATTTTTTTCAAAATCTACTTTAGGTTTCTTATTTATGCCAAAAAATCGGAGGAAAATTCGTACGGGCTTCAGCAGGCAAGAATTTTCCGAAACCGATGCATCCGTGATCACTCGTTTCAGTCTTCTATTCATATGTGCCTCTGTTTATTTATTTACGCTGGAAAGCTCGTTTATTTCAGCAAGATTCGGCCAGGAAATGTTTGTTTAATGAAGCGTGCGAAATAGGTTAGGCGATTTAATTAAGTTTTCTGTTGCAAAAGGCCAGATATTGTGAGTTCAGGCTCCACCACAACACTTCCTTACCTCGTCGAAATGGAATGCTGTCTCGATCAGGAGATGAACATTTGAAATTGAGGGACATAGTTAACTTCATAACAGAATATAACTTTTTCTACGGCAAAAGAATGGCGACTTTTCTATTCGCTTATTTTGACGCCTCGTTACGCTGTTTCTCCTATTCGAAACGGTTTACTAAAATTTGGCTTCTTGATACCTTAAGGACGATGAAGGAACAATGCGTCATTTTTACATTTGAAGATTTTGTTGAGGGCACTATTAACCTTTCCGGAGACTCTCTAATAATTCGTTGCACAATAATGCTGAAATACACCACCAATCAACTCGACGAGCTCCAGCAAACTGTCCAGGTATCATTCAAAGATGCTGACATTTTTTTTATGACGTCTTTTACCCCCGGAAAGTGTTTCACAACCCTATTAACGTTCACGTTACATCGCTAGTACCACTCCATACGAGTAACTCTCTTGCTCATAGAGAAATACCTCAATAAATAAGTCGCTGATCTTCCGTACCCCTTTGCCGCTTCGACGGACTTCAAGGTCGACAACGGACTTCTTCTCTCGTTAGTAAATTTTCCTTTCATCGCAGCCTTCGCGACAATATAAACACCGGTATACTTTCTCAAACGTCTCTTTCTTTCTTTACTATCAGTACCGCTACCTCTGTAAGATCCGTCTTTACCAGCGGCTGTCGCTACGGCTGCTGCTGCTACCGTTGTTGATCCTGGTCGTACGGCAGCGGTGCGCGTCACGACGAGTGCCATATTGACGTTCGACATAAGCTCTCGGCGACAAGCGAATCGTCGTTCTCGCACATGCGCCGTGCTAAATCCATGGCGAGCCACATAACTGCCGCTGTGTAGCTGCATATAGAGTGGAGGTGTTAGCTGCAAAGGTGGCTGCTGCCACTTCGCCGTTCAGCGCGAATCCGCTTTAGAAGCTGCTGGAGCCGTTGAAGCCTCCGGCAACTGGCAGTCAGCAGTGCCGCCGCCTAGCGGACCGCCATCACGTGCGACGGTTGGTTCCGTCCGATGATCAGACGTCCGGCGCCCGCCAACGATTTTGCACTGGTCCTAGTTCTGCTGGCTCGGGCGGTGACACTAACGATGCATAGGGGCAAGTGGCGCTACAGCTAAGGCAAAAGCTTTGGATTTTCGACCGTAGGTTTGTGGTCTTTAGTCTTCAGTGCCCTTCGGATCTTTTCCCGCTTCACTGGCTTTCACGTTACGCACGACAGTGTGCCTCGGGACAGTAATTGGCCTTGACTTTTGCTGTGCAGTAAGGGGCGGGCCTGACCAAACCCACTGGTCCAGTAGCATGCAGAAATATAGGTACGGTGCGCCATTTGACAAACCCGCCAATTCAGGCCAATAACAAGTGTAGAGAGGCAAACATTGGAAAAAATATTCGACGTCAACGCAGAGCAGAAGTACAACTACGCTTGCGGTGGCTGGGGATCCCGATTTACAGATCGCGCGCCAGGTACATTGCGAAACGCGCTGTCCTGTATATTCGTGATTGTGGTCCAAAGTGGATGATAAGGTGGATGAATGACAAACGCTAAGGAAGCACCTTCACCCCGATGAGCTGGCGGTTCGTTTAGAAAAGCTTAAACGGAAGAAGAAAGCCGAGCAGACTTTTCGTTTTAATTCTGATTTGCGTGAGGTTCCTGTTTCGACAACGATGCTTTACAGGATATAGGCGTTATTGTCAGTTCCATCCATCGGCGCATACTCATTTGCAACGCTCGTAATCGTGAATTAATACACGTTGAATCTAACTGGGTAGCTACTATTATTATAGGATAACATTCGGCGAACCGGAACACGCTTCATCAGGTCTGATGTTTGAGCATGTCTGAATAAACTGATCAGAGACAGCGATTTTCAAATCTGTATCTTAACAGGTGGCCGACCAAAATAAGCGATTAGGTAGTCACCTAATTGAATCGAATGGTACATAGAGCTAGCTCATCGGACTTCGAACCGCTGAACAAGCAGCTGCAGAACTGGTATATGTATCGGTTTGCTCAAGAATATAAACCTCACTCGAACCTTAGCAAGCGTCGAGTTTGATTCGAGGCTTGTTGAGAGCGTTTTAGTGTGTAAGTGGTGCAACCCAAGTGTGGAAGATGTCTCACTGGGTTAACCTTACGTGACATGGTGAACTTTATTCAAGGAAGTGACCACTACAAAAAGATCATCTCTATAAGAACATGTTAGTTACAAAAGAACTCGGCTGTGCTCAAGGGGAGTAGTTTGTCTTGACTATTCGTACAGGGAATCCGCGTTCACTCGAAAAGTTCAAACAATAGCGTGCCTGTATAATGTCCTGTGAACGCTTCTATGATTAGGAATTCCCCATAATTGGGCATTGTTTCTTCGTTTTGTTCTGACCTATTGCCGTCGTTTACCCAGTCCGGACTAAAAATGTTGACCGCACGTGGAACGTTCACGACGGCTGATTATATGGTATTAGTATTAGTTCTGGTGCTTTCAGCGCTTATTGGTGCCTTTTTCGCCTATAAAGGACGCAAAAGCACATGCAACAAGGAGTTCCTCGTAGGAAATCGCAAGTTACAGGTGACAGTGATTCGTATGTGACCCTTCCAGTTACAGGTGTAATTGATCTAATATTGAAAACATTAATTCTGTTTTGTTAACTGTTACGCAGAAGACTGTTGAAGCTATACAAGTTTTGCTCAGTATTGCCATTACTCTTACGTTCATTTCTGTGCACGAATTCATGACGAAATCTTCAATTCTTCAATTTATGTTACTATATAATTATGGATTCAGTGAAGACATCACACTTGTCAGCCTGCATGCGTAAGAGCTGATTGAAATAGCTTACACTGTGTCCGTATCGCGTATCTTCTTGTTGGCTTTGTCAACGCAACGCCCCATGTTGAGCGATTTCGGTCGGCGGCGGCTGCATTTCGCATACAGGCACTAAACGGCCACAGTGGTCTTCTTTAAAATAGTCTCGGCGTCGATGTTAAAAATTACTAAAGAAAAGCAAAGGTATAAGTCGATTATGTAAGAAAAATCGATTTACGCAAAAAAAGAAGTTGAAGCGCTGCTTTTGGTGATAATGATTGTGCTGACATTTTGGTGACTTCTATAAAAATGTATAATATCATTGTCCTATTTTTATTATTGTATTATTTTTGTTCCTACGAAAAGTTAGCTCCTATTGTCTAACTACAACGTCTGACGATGCCATTACGTGTCGAAATATTATATATATATATATATATATAGCTCAGGTGGTCGCTGAAATGATATTTTTTTATCAAGACGCATCACGAGTCACTAACGCTAAAGCTGTTGCCACTATAAAGTTCTACTATGGCGTCGCGCGCTTACTAAATTGACGTTGCCGCGCGGTCCAAAAAGACAATGATGGCAAACCGGTCCTTCGGTATCCCCCTGAAGACCTAGCGAGAGCTGCTGTTACTAATGTTGTCACCAATAATAACAAACACAAGCTCCCTTATACAAGATGCAAGAAAAATCATATATTATATATGTATCTCAAAACTATTATAACACAGACCGAAATACGTGTTGTACAACAAAATGGTAAATTTCCATAGTAGCATTTTAAGATATGTCGCAATGTGGGGGACAAGAGCAAAAACATTTTTCTTTAGAGAAAACGTGTCCAATACTTATTTTTTTCAAAAACATATGTTGATCGAAGGAGGATAGAAAACTATGTAACTGGTGCAAGACTGACTCTCCTGAGAACCGTTTTAGCAATACGGGGGGTGCGCGCGCGGGGGAACTTGAGTTCGCGCTTGGGTTTCCGCGACTTTCTGCTAATGCCTGTTACATTACCTAGCGACTGTTGATTTCGACCGGCAGACATTATGTACTGTGTTTCATCGGATAATGTCAGGTGCGACCTTTTCGGCCATTTGATGCGGACAGATCTTCACCTGGGCCCTAAATACTTTTCCAAAGAGCTGCATTAATATACGTGGTACGACACAGATAGCTATGTTTATGCTATTTTCCGGTTGCATTTTTTTCAATGTTACTTTTACAATTGACAGGAAATGCAGCGATCTCGAGGCGTATTCTCAAAATCGGCAGGAATGTTTATAGTAGGCTACTTTGGTGACCCTAGTCAGCCAGTGGACACAGTCACCTTTCTTTAATGGCATGCCTACGATTGACATGGCTGTTCAGTGAACACTTCTATGAGCTCAAGTATTAATATTAGGAGTGGCTGACCCGCGGCACCATAACGGCGGTATCTCACCGCTATTGGACCCCAGGCGGTGCGGTAGTACACTGGGGCATTTTGCTTCCTCCTCAATATCTTCTATTAGTCATACTAGTTTTATTGTTGTTAGACGATGCCTCATAGTACATCTTTCTGATCTTTTAAACGCACAAGCGCAGTAACCGTAGCTTTAAACCGTAACGCTTCATGGCCGCGTAACTCTTGACAACCCGGCTTGTCTCTGCCCAGGAGATAATAACATACACAGATGCGTATATAGACACTGGATTCTTTCGATACAATCTACAGAAATGTCCGTGGTGACAATAATTATTCTTATGATTATTATTTTATTTTGGTCGTTCGACTTCGCAAAGGGTGAATGGCGTAGAATTTCGCGACTAAGAGCCATAGAGAGAGAGAGAGAGAGAGAGAGAGAGAGAGAGAGAGAGAGAGACTAAGTTGCACAAACGCATAGACCGGTTTGCTTTTTAAACGGAGAACTGGCTGGTTCGAATCCTTTTTTTTTTTGCTAATGGGAATGTTGATTTAACAGACGAAGGCTTGACCCACCATATGGTCACTTAGGGCCCTCGATACTGTTACAGTATGAACGGCATTTGTAAAGCCTTTCTAGCCCAATACCTCGCCTTTAAAAATAGACAGAAAGATCAATTTGCGGTATCCTTATCTGGAGTACAAGGGTACACCAAAAACTGCTATTTACTGCTTTGCTCATGGCACACCTGAATAAATACGAGCTGCGATTGGCAGGCAGTTGAACTTCTGTAGCATGTTTTCAAAATTTAGATTTGTCTTCTTTTGCAGGTTGCTGAAAACCACCGCGAAGATGTGGTCAGTAAGACGCCGAACATATATTCTACGGGTTGATATGATACATGCCAAGACAGCCCTATAAATTGGCTCGTGTTAAATATCGCCTTTGTTACAGTATATTGTTTATTCGAGCGTTTATGAATTGTATTCCTGATCAAGTTAGTGTTGCTAACAGCCAGTCTGGCCATACAACTACACCTGTCGGGGGAGTGCAAAATGACAGTGTGGGGCGAAATTTATACTAATTAATATTAGACAACTTCTCTAATATACATATATATGTCAACACTAATTGAATTCATCATAAAGATATATGTTTGTTTCATCATAGCTTTTACTATTGCCGCTATGATTATGCTACTATTTGTCACGCTTGTTTGCCCCGGTCTCGCCCGAGCTATTGCTGCTACCGTTCCCCCCAAACAATGAACAGCCGACAATTATCTCGCCACGCCAATTACGTTCAGTAAATTCGGAAAAAAACAGAGCTAGCCACTATAAGAGCTTCGCTATAGCATATATATTGCCGGGTGAATATGCACTTTGGGTCAGTGGGGCAGAAACGTACACAATCGATAAACACATGCACTATTTACGCAGGCATATCTCTGCTGTGTTTGTATATAAATCGGCACTTTAAGGCGACAGACGATGCCACCGGCAGTCTACCGCTGACCAGCCGCCGCCATCATCGAACACAAAAGATTACTCACTGCAATGCGCAGATTTTCTGCTACCGGTAGGCAACACGCGATGAACTAGCGCCTTCAGTCGACGCGACTCGACGCCATTGGTACTGAGCGAAGTCCAAGGATATTTGGCGGCAGTGACTGTAGATGAAATCAAGATTAACCGCAATGGCAAACTAATGGTCGACCATTGCTAGCGATCTGTGCCTGCTACCAGTCAACCGTCGCTTTGTCACTGTTCTAACCAACGTAAAAACTGAAGGATCCATCCCTGACCATTATCGTCTGGTATCTTGTTGCTTGTGACCCTTCGATTCGTCTCGTCGCTCTTGTCGTTACGTCTGTGGCGACGTTGATAAACAGATATCACTACGATTAATAGGAAGCTCTTCTCGAATATTTCTTCCAAACAAACCAACAGCGAATAAATAAACTAGGAAACTATAATAGAAAAAGAAAAAATAGGCCACAAAACAGCGCTCGCTTTAGTACGTACGTACGTACACTGCCGTATCTGCAGCGGTTTTGGTCGCGGACAGCAGGCAGGAAGCTGTACTGTGGCTTTTGGGCAACGAAAGTCGAGATAGGCGCAAGTGGAATCGATTATACGGTGACGGTCACGGTGACGATCATCACTGGTAAGCAGGAGCACCTTGGCGCGGAACGGTGCTAGATATCGTTGATTAAATAACAGAAGTTGTACAAACTTTAGGAAGCGCACCAATTCTTCTAAGCGGTTGTCCACTTTAAGTGGTTGGACTAAGCAACAGACACTGTCGCAGGGAAGAAGCTCGTCGAGGCTGACCTTCGCCCGTGAGCGAACCAAAACGATAGGTATCAATATTAGTTAGCGCTCAGTATTCATCAGATATAGAACTGAACTCAAAAATTACTTGCTCAGATACTATCATTGCTGGATGATGATCATTGATGTTACTGTAACATACGATTAGCCTATGGGTACGTAGAAAAATATCGCTCGTGAATGCGCTAGATGACACTGAATCTCGCTCTGGACATTCATTCTAGGCCGTTTTTTGTCGTTCCACGCCGACCGGCCGCCCAAAAACGAGCATGTACCGGTATAATCATATAGCTTTAATCACCTAATCTATATTAATTTGTTCAGACGTCAGCAAAAAACCGCTAGCCAAAAATATGCAGAGCTCTAGTATGTTTTAGGTTGACTATTTCTTGATGATCCTAAACAAAAATGGGAACGCTCCCAAGTAAATGAATCGAATTCGTGCAATAGATGATTTGGATTTCTCATACTACACAGCCAATAAAAGAAAAACACATCAATTGGTGATTTTATTAACCCAACACACGTTTCGGCCATGCCACAATAGTCAATTAAATTGTATCACATCTTAACACATCGGTTACTTAAGTTACTTTGTTTCTTGCTATGCAATATAAATTGCTTTCATGTCCTACTTATTTTACGTCCTAAGGTCGAATATGTTTTCTTAAGAAGACGACTCGAAACCTATGAAAAAATAGGTCATTGCGTCGCTCAGGTACTCGAATGGGCTAGAAGCATTTGTATAAACATTGATGCTAATTTTACCTCAAGACATCTAAATCGTCGGCAGAGTAACAGCATATAAATAGATGGCTTGGTTGCTCCGGAAACTTAGACACTTACCTCATTCGACTAGAATGTTTTATCCTATATCTAGGATATTATATCCCATCTTTCATTTCATTTGAATTGAGGTAGCTTAACGGTTGGAATAGAGTAATCGGAACGATTCGATTTATTAGGACAAAACTATGGATAAAGCGGTGCGGCAGGACAATAATGCCGGTTGTCGACGAATAGCAAGATAATGAATTCGTTGTAGATTAGATTAGGTAAAAAAAAATGGACAAACACTATGCATGTGTGCATCTATCGCATAAATCAACAGATGACGCCCACTCCGTCCCAATCCTGTAACCCAAATGCTATCATAGTTAAGATAGTGAATTTGGGCTACTGTTGACATCAATTAAACACAACTTCCTTCAATTGCGCATATACTACGCCTACACGTATACAGAGAAACAAGTCTCGCGGTCACTCTAAATACGCATTTACGTCTGCAGTATTTTAGTTTTTAGCATAAATATCAGTACATTGCGTATGTTATTACTATATATCAGGTGACCAGCATAAACGATGGCCGCTCGATTCGTTGATTCGTGCCCTGGACCACTCCATCACTAGAAATTTGTCTCGTCAACAATTGGCCTATTTCACAGATCAACTGGCGTACGTTCCTTCTTTCTGTTTGACAAGTCACCTAGAGAATCGTCACAATATTACCAGCACCGTCGCTGGTTCTTATTGTTAAACCAATTTGTTTCCGCACCGTCGATGTGGCCCGCTTCCGCTGGTCTCGTCCCGCTGGTCTCGTCCCGCTTTTTTCGCAGCATCTAACAAATACTCGTTGACTGATAAAGCGTAAAACAACGAAAGCGTCGATGTCGACGGCCGCAGCAGCGGCAGCATTGCAAACTACGATCACGTTAAATGAACTCGGATGACGGATACGCCGCTGTTTTCATTGTTGCGCCCGCCGTCGTGCAGGACAAAAGCATTCAGGCCGAGATTCAGTGTCTCCGATAGCAAACCCGCGACAGTTCTCACTGATACGGGTCCATGCGATGTCGGGCTTTGCTCAAGCACCGACGGTCATGGTGAAGACTCGTTTTTTAAAATCAAATCGAATTTAACTCTCTCGGCATCTGTGTTGGCTCAAGGTCGCAGCCACGGCGGCTTACGCTAAGACTTCGACGAGTACCAGGGGTAACGGTAGCTAGTCAGGTGACGTAAGGACCTGCCGAGAGGAGCTCCGGATAGGATGGGGCAAGCCGGAACAAGTAACGAAGCAAATCGTTTGCTGTTTGTTAAGTGATTGCGCGACATTTTGATTGCATGGGTTAAATCGTCGCATTAGTCGGCACTTAACGACCATGCTGAGTAGCAAAGCGATGGGACTTCGTAGATACTTTACTATGAACAAGGTTTAAGCTCATAAGATGCTAAAATGTCCGTTGGGTATTTTGTCTATTTAACCGTGAATTATGAAGACAGTAATAACGGCGTATTGGTTGACAGTTCCGTATCGGCCAACGATTCCTGCGTCATCTACAGTGTAAACATTCAGTTTAGTAACCGTTACAATAGTCACAGACAACGAAGTAGCTTGAGTGATTACAAATTCTGCCAATCAAAATAACAGTGACTATTTATTTGCGAACGACATCGTTGTAAGACAAACGAACGGCGGCGGGGAAACGCAGTCGCACTTCGGCCCAGGTTTGTCGTGTAATGGCCCAGCAGCTGCATAGGTGGACGGACAGCGGCGTTATTGCTGCTGCTGCTGCTGCTGGTGTTGTTGTTGTTGCACAACAATAACAGCAGCTGCGGGAGCGTGCGGCACGTCGGTAATGCAATTCGAGGCATAGCAAAAGGACAAAAGGGTAACAGTAGCTGCAGCAGTACTAAGAGTTGTGCGATTTGATTGAAACGTAGATTTACGAAGCACAGCTTCTGTACAAGTACAGGCACTGACGATGGCAAAATCTTGCGCGAAGAAGCGAATAGTTCTTTGGTTCTTCGGTCGAAAGCTGCTTAAGACGATCGTACATTAGAAGTTAGCTGGCTTGGCTGGACCCGGTCGCTTTCATATAGCAGCGTCTATTTACAATTACGATAATTGCCCTGCGGCATTGTGGCTACCCGCCTGACCAAGATGTCTACCTAATTGGCATACACTGGAGCGGTGATAGGTAATTTCCACTTTTCTTTGACGGCTCATTTTTATGGATGTATATCTCCTACAGTATCAATTGAACGCGACTGTCAAGGTGCGCCACGCGATTTGCCCAGCTGACGAATGCTGAACTAGCGCCAATGTTAGTGATTCAACTAGATAGAATCGCCTGATAAGAGCAAAGTTAGCGTCGAGGCACCCGCTAACTGGGAACCCGAAAGGCCTGAGAAGTTGCAGTCGTAGATCGAAGTTTTTTTACTTACCTAATGGCGCTGGTAAAAACCATTATTAACCGATAATTAATTTACTGTATGAATCGCTTGGAGTTTTTGAGCGAACCTCTAGATACAATTTCTAGTGCTCGTTCCACTGGCGCGCGCTTCTTGACTGTATACGTGTTTGTTGGGTACGGTATCGCTGGACGAGAGACACAGGAAGGTAATAAACCAGCCCGCAGCAGGAGCTGGCTAATATTCCTTATAATAACTGCACGAACTTAATATAACTATTAAAGAAAATTATACTACTTTAAAGCGATCTGATTTGAATATTTGTTGGGTACTGTTCAACCGCTATCGTCAAAAAAGATAAATCTAACGAGTGATGGCAGCCATTATGGAGATGATTCACGTAACGATAATCATCATCGTCGCCATTGTGGCCATACTAGTAGAAACGTGAGCGGCGATCAGACATCGACAAGGACTACATACGCGTACACAGACATCGCCTATTAAAAATTTCAATGGCGGATTTATCGCATTTTCTGGAAACGGCACTTTTCAGAGAGTTCGCCATTGTCTCGATCGTAAGAGGCCCAGAGGAAGGGGGCGAGAGGAACAAAAGACAGCACCACCGATAATAGTATAACTCGGCGCACATGTCCGCTTCGCGACTCGTCTACGCTTAACGACGACTTCGTGCTAGTGCTGGCTCAATGCTATCTCGCATATTGCTTCCTGTGTTTTGAAAAGTAGCGCGCTTACTCGATTATGTCTATAGATGTTGCCGTCAATGCTCATTGATGCCAAAGATTCGAAGTTGCCAAATAAAGTTGTCGTTGATCGCTAGCAGACGTCTGATAACCGGATCGTATTTAGACGCAACACGACGATAAGACTACGTATGCGAGATTTCATATTTGATGATAGCAGTAATTGTCACGTTAACTTCTATTTGCCCTGTAACCCCTAAGGGTTGTTCAAACAAGCTGTCATAGTTGGTTCGGTAAAGCTTCGTGACTATCGTTTTCGAGTTTGAAGTTCGAAATTAAGAATAGAATTGTTACAATTTTAAGCTCGTCCTCATTGTTCCAACATGTAACTTCGATCACAACAACACGATCGTCATTAAAACTCGAATAGTTTTCCCGCCCGTAGCTGCTTACACTCGTACCAGAGGTATAATGTATGTGCTTGATCCACGTAGGTCCCTGGATGTTAGTTGTGAATGAAGTGTTCGATCCAACAGCCCCAACAACTGTTCTAGCGGCACGATACAACGGCGCCGTTATTGTACGAACGATGAAGACTCGTAATAATATTATAGTAAAAATAAGTACGTAAAAAGCAAGAAAAAGGGTTTCCCCTAACGATATCGTTACTAGCGGGCCGCATGTGGCATCATTATTTTATTTACACTGTGACACAACGAGAGGCGCTCAGACACGCTCAAATCGTTCGGCTTCCCGGCTGGTTTTTTGTTGTCTCCTTTCGGCCTACAGCACCGTTCCAATGCTACTGCTTACACGTATTGCGTAAATGCCTCGTTTTCCAACGGCACCGAAATCGCGCCACGAAGGTATATAATCCAGCCACCTAATACAGGAGGCATACGCGCAATACGTATAGATGTAAACGCATCTACCGTCCGCTTGACTTTATCACGGTCATTGCAATATAATCCGTAGCGATAAGTCGTCTATCGCATTGCTTGCCAGCGTTCTAAGAAAAATCTCATGCCGCTGCCGCGACTGGCTTCGTACGGTTAGACTAGGTGCAGCGAGGTCATAGGGTAGCAAAGAAAAGTAGTGAAATAGCGTTTATTTGCCACCGATGCTCAGTCAGCCGGCATTACAACTACATCTATGCACATACGTTGCAATGAAATGGTTGTAAATAATGGTATTGCCTGTATATATACACATTATACGTTAGTAAAACGAGACAGGGCTCGTTTAGTTGAAACCTTTGATGACACAAGCAGTAGCGGCCGTGAAACGGCAGCGGCTGCACTTGCTTAAACACCAAGGGGCGCTTAAGGGAGAAGTCTTAAGATGAACAAAAGTTGAGTCGTTGAGCGGTCAACGTATTGATGGTCTTGTGTCTAGGCTACCGTCGATGCGGGATGTCGTCTCGGGAACAGTGTCCATGATTACATCAATCGCGACGTATACGGCCGCTGGCACACCTTCGGTTCACTCGTCTTACGTGTCGATCGATGCGACGGGTTAATTATAAAATCCAAGCTCCATTAGCAGTTAATTGCAGGAAAGAACGGATTATGCATTAGATATGTATATATCCGCCACCAGTTAGTACCAGTAGTTTCCGCGCGAAGGATGGCGTATAGCACACGACGCCATTCGGTCGCCAATCGGGTCTCGCTCATTAGTAATGTTGTTTTCCCCGGCTCCCCAGCCGTTCTACCGATATCGACTACCCCAGCGATGTCGCCTTGATAATGGCAATCGTTGCCCGTTAACTAGCATAAAACTTCAGTCCTGATAGTTTTAACGGGGTATAGTGGCAATCACCAGCGAACTGCTTCGGATGACTCTGGGGTCTGTACGCAGGATTCACAAGATGCCTTGAATGGACGTCAAAATGCTGAATACCAGCTCGATGACCGTTAGGCTAAACGACCGGCTAGTGTCAAGTACCCTGTACCCTGAATAATGTATGTGGTCTTCTGCAGGGGGTCATCAGGCGCGAAGCGCACGCAATCGTTTGCATTGTAGAGTCAGCCTCGGCGGCGCGCACATGATGATAGCAACGGTATTACGGCAAAACAACGACGAAGCTCTGTTGTTGCTGATTAGTATAAGGTCAATGCTGATAGTGTGCCGTGTCTGACTGCAGACGGTAGGACAACATTGGTTCTGTGTCCATACCGTTATGACAACTCATGGCGGTAGCAGCAATCGAAGCTTCACATGGCGCCAATAGAGAGAGAAAGCGAACGCGGTCTTCTGCAATCACAAAGCAGGCCATTTAGTGGCTGTTGGTGTATTTTGTATGAGCAGAAGAACGGGGTGAACCGGGCTTTGAGCGATAACAAAATTATAGGTAGCGAACAGTCTACTGCGGCAGTCATCACTTGCTAGTCAGGGCAGTACTGACGCCTTGCCCTCTGATGCCTTGCGACTGATGAACGTAGGATGAAAATGAGATGCGAAAAGGAAATACAGCTGACGGCAGTCTGCAGAAATCAATGAGCAAAACGCCTGTGTATCAGAACGACTGCTGAATTGACACCATCTGCTAAACTATTGCATGCAGATCCGACCATCGAGCTACTTCTATCTTGCTTTAATGGGAACCTCGGCTTAGGTAGAGACAAGTTGAAATATTAAGGACACATAGAATACTGAAGGGTCATTATGGCTTGTGTGTGCTGAACAAGCTTTTTAGCTGGTAATTTATTAGGTCTATTTTATTTGCTTACGCAGATTTGTAGCGTTGTTTGAATAACGAGATTATTAGAAGTTTTTTGGCTATTTCTTCAATGGCTTAAAATGCGCCATAACTCCGTAAGATTCTTAATTTGGTTCAACACCATATACAGTCATAAGATGACAGGTCATAGATAGCCAGTAGAGGAACGAGCAATATATTCTATGCGCACATATATGTGCTACCCTTTCGGTAAGCAGAGCTATCTGGGTTTGCCTCGCGCCATGAAAGGATATGATTGACATCGACTGCAAAAAAATCCCACCCGACAACGCTGTTCAATTAAGTCTTAATTGTGTACATAGCATCAGATATGCCGTCGCCTGTATAGCAACATCATTAACTACCTATACTATGTGCCCACTGCTGTATCAGAGTGGCTGTCTGAGCGCGAGTGTTATACCACAGTTACATCTACGTACCGTACAGAACGAATGATAAGCTCGGCTGATTGAGCTTGGCTAGAGATCTGCGAGCGCCAGCGTAGCTACCCCTATAGGGCTCTCTGTTTTCAAGGTCCTCTTCTCGGTGCTAGAAAGTGGCGAGATCTTGTTGAAAGGAAGTATTTACTATATTCAATAGTCCTGCATGTCGAGCCTGTTGCTCCGTGCTGCTGCGTCGTGCGCCTGTCAGTGAAATATCATACAATTTACTGATCATTAATCGTAGCATCTTGCGAAGCGAGTACAAAGTATCGAGCCCGCTCTATCGATATAGAAACTTACTATCTTAACTGGAGCATCTCGCAGCTAGAATCGACCCGCTTAGTTTCGCTTGACGAGGAACAACAGGGCTTTTTGGTACTTAGCGTGTAAACCTGCGATTCAATATTCAATAACTTTACAGGTGAAAGTTTGATTATGTTGTATATCATTCATTTTAAGCTCATTACTTCTTCATTTATCTCGATTTATGCTTTACGACCCATCGAATTTATAAGTAACCAGTTGGACTTGCCTGTACTCTTGTATCAGATGGCTACTATAGACATAAGTCATCTGCATCTTCGGTACGGTGATGCCTTAGGCGAAAACAGGTAAAGTTTAACTAGATTCTCAAAGTATGCCTTTGTGTGCTTCTATTCCTACATTTTACACCCTCATACGATCTTCATATAATAGCTAATTTTCAACAATATCGACGACTTACTACGACGTTTCGCTAAAACGTCGGTCACTTTAAAATTGTATTGCTACCTAGCTAGTTGAAGCTGTTGATGCTGCTCTAACCTCTTCGATCAATGGATAACTTCGAGTGAGACATACGCGTACCTAAACGATGTTCCTAACAACGTGGCCTTTTCGTGACATATTTCCATTTGATGCCAGATCGTCCACTAGCTTTGTTACCGTCTGAGCCCTACAGACAGCGCCGGGATGAACTCGTCCGTCGATAGCGTAGGAGCTGTTATAATCAATTACATTATATAAATGCGCCAAAAATCTATCATCATTTCGGTGACGATCGGCTATTTATCTTATCTTCACTAGCGAATAAAACATCGTGCACTACTGCAGTTATTACCTGAATAGAACACGGCATAGGAACTGATGTCGATTTTTTCATACGCTCAACAATACTGTCTGTGCGTTACAACCTGCCGAAAAGTACGACCCCAATCGGCTAGTAAAGGCACTGCTCGTTCTAGCTCGTTACGAACATTAGGGTGATCCGGCGCGGGAGATAACAGTCCGCCTAGATATTCGCATATAGTGCAGGCTGCAGATAGCAGTCGGCGGTTCGCAACGCTGGCGCAATCGAGTTACTGTTTTAGTGGTCATGATAAATTTGGCATCGTCACGTCAAGCCGGGAACGACCCAAGCACACAACCCAGTTGCCCTATTGGAAAAAGAGGCACATAAAAATGAAATGCAGAGCATGTGGCTTCTAGCAGCTACCCAGAACAGGCCGGGCAAGCAAGAGTCCATCCACGCTACTTCAACATATCAATGACGATACCACTTAGAACTCGTGTAGTGTTACAGGCAGTCGCCGATTTTGTCGTGCTCAGAATATCAGACGCCCTTCTAAAAATAGGGGGTCGAAGATCCGATCATTTAGATACGCCGTTAGTGTCTGTTTGATAATATCGCAGTCAGCCATGCCTACATAACTGTCCAAGATTCAACTGAACGAACTTGCGAGACACACAATAATAAAGTTGAATAATGAATAAGTGTCTTCCATTATTATAGGTGTTTGTTGTCATCGATGCGAACATTGAACATATCTAATAATTAATGATTAGTATTGGGGGCGTGCCAGATGTGACGAAGCGAGAGGCTCGTTATTACTTTGAAAAACCTGATTGATGGTTTCGGGTTCCTTCCAAGGACCGAGACCCAGCGATCTTCTTCTAAAATATTTAGGTTCTTAACTTCAGCCCATAGCGCGC